GTACCGCCGCCGCCGCCATTTCGGGAGCGCCGCCTCAGCGCGCCGCGACCGCGGGCAGCTCGGCCCGGCCCGGCCCGAGCGCACCTTCTGCCGTCGCCGCCACAGCCTCCCCGGCCCCTGTCCCGATGGCGACCTCCGTTGGGAACGTGGCGGACAGCACAGGTACCGTGCGCTGCGGCGCCGCCGGGGACGGGCTGGCCGGGGACAGCGGGGGCCGGGCCGTGCCCTCGCCCCCGGGGCCGCTCTCCGGGCCCGTGCCCGGCGGAAGTTTCCAGATTTCCAGACGCGGCAGGGCGGCGGTGCCCCCGCCGCCCCGGGGGCTCTGCGCCCCCAGGGCCCGGTGCCGGGCGCGCTCCGGTGGGCGCTGCCCGTGGGCAGCCCCCGGGCCGCCGCCGGGGAGGCGCGGGGAGCTGCGGGTGCGGCGGGCTCGCTGCTATATTTATCGGGCTATCAGGTGACTGCGTTAGACGGCGAAGTAGGGTAAAAGCCTGACCCAAAATGTGTGTTGGTTTGCCCGGAATCGCTCGCCGCACTTAGGCAGGAGTTTTTTTTCAGCAGCCTGGTGGAATGGAAGGTGTCCCTGCCCATGGCGGTGGAATCGGAACGAGATTGTGTTTGAGGTCCCTTCCAGCCCAAACCGTTCTGTGATTCTGTAGCACAGCCGGATACTAAAGCGCTTTTCTGAACAGTAAGATAGCGTGTTGTGTCGGGGAAAGATCCGGCCCTACATTTAGTTCGCAGATCCAGAACTTGAGGAATGGAGGAGAAATCTGACTTTCTCTGTAGAGCAAGAGAAAGAAGCATCGTGCTGACTGGAAGGATGGAAGGACAGCACAGCTTTATCCCCCAGATTTTGGGGATTTCTGTAACCAGAGGGGCAGAAAGAGCTGAAATGATGCTTGGGAAAAGCAGAAGGAAAAGGACGATTTTTGGAGAAAGAGACGGGATAGCAGTGCGGAGATAGGGATCTGAAGAGAAACGGTATCGATACAGAAAGGTGCTGCAGTACGGTGTTCGGTACTTCTCAGCTAGAGCTGTGTGTGGTCAGCCAGGCTGCAGCATCCTCTTGTAGCCTGGATCCCTGCGGGAAAAAGAGCCACGTGCACGCCGGGAGGGAGTCCTGTGCTACCCAGCACCTCCCAGCTGGAGGTGACCACTGCTTCTGTCTGGAGCTGGATGGTGTCTGAACGCAGGCTTGAGCAGGAGTCTATTGCAAGTGCTTAGGATGGTGTTTGTAGGGGGAAAATGGCCTTGGGCGCCTTTCTGATGGTTCTATGCAGCTTTTTGTTTCGCTTGTATTGTCTGGAAGCCTCAGGGAAGGTCATTGTCACAGCACTGTACTAGACTTTTCCAAGGTCGTAGGCGAAGCATGCAGCACAAATTAGCCGAGGTACAGAAATTAATTTATGCGAGACACGAAAAGGGATTTTCCTGGCTGTGACTCCTCACTGCAGTTATTTTCTTTACAAATTGATTCAGTGCGCATCCATTCACGGGCTGTCCTACGGGTATTTTGCACTGCACAACTTCCAGCCAACTTTGTATTAAAAAGTTTCACTCGTTCTGGACTTTGTGGCTGTCCACTTCCTACTTCTCAGTGAACTTCTTCCCAGTCGTTTATAAAATAAATGCTTGGAGGAAGATAACTGGCAATTTTACACTGTTTGCCCTGTCTCTGGAGACAAAGGGTGGGTTGTTTTGTAAACAGAGACACTGGATAAATGAAAGAAAGTGTCAGTGTTTCTTCTTTTGTTGCTTTTGTTGGTAGTTCCCATTCTCAGGTGTTAAATCTGCACCGCCTGCTCTCTTGGCCTAGAAGTTGCAACTTCAGTTTTTCTTGCTTTAAGTAGGCAAAATGTAGCATTGAGATCGTGACTGAAAGCTTCTTTCCCTGCAGTCATAAGCCTTGAAGTGTAAACTTCTGGGTTGTTATGTTTTGGGGTGCTTTCTGGTTGTTTTTTGTTTTACTTTGAAATTTACTGAAGCAATTGAAAGGTATTGGAAGAGGAAATTGAGTTCATGAGACATGCTCTTCCTCTCTGGTTCCTCTGTGCCATCAGCGGAAGTTGAAAATGCAGTGACTGCCGGAAGGGCAAACAAAACCTGTTAGCAGCAAGGGAGCAAGAGAGGAGCAGGGTGCTGGTGCTCCAGCATTGCTGTCAGCACCATTTATAGCTGCCACCGTTCAACATTCTCATGTTGAATAAAGGTTGTACCTTTTTATCTTTGCCAGTCGCTTTAATGAGATCCTGAAGTCCACTTTGCCCTTAGTCAGGGTTTGAAAAACAGGAATCTAATCTGGATAAGGATCCTTGGTTACTAATTTGTCAATTATCTAAAGAGAGAGTGGTAGTGGTAGTTCCAATTTAACGTGAAAGAGTTTATAGCACTGACAGACACAGTATGCTATTTGAAAAACAACTGTACTTATACAGGACTTGCAGTCTTATATTAAAACCTGCTGGTCCTAAAACCCCAAATTTGAAAGTAATTTATATAAATTGCATCAATCCCAATTTCATAAAATAAACACTAGGTAGTAAATCTGTACCTAATCTCTTTGTGATCATTTTGGCTGTCTTTAAAGTTCTCATAAAAGCATGAGAGTCTCTGGACTTCTGTACTACCTCACTACAAAAATGTGGGCTCAGCTATTGAGGTGCTTTCTTGTATTAGGAAAGGTTTATCTGTTTCATTTAGATTCCAAAATTTAAAACGGTAGGATGAGGTGGAAATTGTTTAATGAATGGAATTATGAGGCTGCAGAGTACAGGAGGAAAAATGAGAGATACTTGAATTAATCAAACATTGTAATAGTTAGAGTTGTTGGTATAAAGGCAGAATTTGCAGCCTAGCACTTCTTTCTAGGATGAATGATTGTGGGTTTTTCCAATTTGCACTTGCTTATTACTTTGTAAGAAATTTTACTTACTTCTCTCACTTATGGTTGTTTTGCCTAAAACAGGTTGTGTTTCATATAAGTATTTCATTCTCCACAGTTGGGTATTAAATACTGAAACTGTTTTGTCACTCCTGTTCCAGCTAAGCCTCCAGGAGCAGTAACTCCTTTCCTGTACCTTGTCTGTTTAATGGTTCCTCCTGTAGGCCAGTTGCATAATCATTGAAGTGTGTGTTTGTCTTTCATCAGATATCATTGTTCCAATACCATTTTTTTTTCTGTGAAGGGGTTTTGACTCCTCAGAGGAAATACAGAGTATGCAGAATTTAATGAATGTTACCCATTGTGCTTTTTTTGCCTTTTTTTTTAAAGAGCTTTCACTACTTGCACAGTAAAACTTTCTTTTGTTCAAGTCCTTTATTAAAGTCTTTGTCTCCTGTCCTTCATTTCCCTATTAAATTGTTAGAACTATTTTTTTTAGCATAGCAAAGCATAGGATTTTCAGTCGTGGGGAGGAGTGAGGAGAGTCATTGTTCTGTTAGCAGCACTTCCACTGTTAGGAACCAAAATATATCATGACAAGAGTCTTTCAGAATAATGGAAAATGATTGACTTGCAAATATTCACAATGTTTACAGTCTGCATTTTTGCTATTATTAGCTGATGGAGTCAAGGACTGGTACAGATAAGATCTTAGAACCCCAACTGTCACCTGCTGTAGTGTTTCATATCATTTCAAACATTTTCATCTGTTAGTTGTGTACATTTTTTTCATTGTTTTGTTTTGTTTTTGTTTTGTTCCCATCATCTAACTTTTTGTTTTCCCCCTTTAAATGTTTTGGTGATTCTCCAGAACCAACGAAACGTATGCTTTCCTTCCAAGGGTTAGCGGAGTTGGCTCATCGTGAGTATCAGGCAGGAGACTTTGAAGCAGCAGAGAGGCACTGCATGCAGCTCTGGAGACAGGAGCCTGATAACACTGGTGTGCTTTTGTTACTGTCATCCATTCACTTCCAGTGTCGCCGACTGGACAGGTAGGCTTCTTCCCTCTGGAATTTTGCTTGGGCTCACCAGCTTTACAATAAACAGGAGGCCTTGCCATTATTGTTGTGTTATTTTAATATTGTGCATATTAACATTGGAACATCAGCCACATTGGTGTGTACTGGCAGGATTTACATGTGTAATGTTCATTCCACCTACAGTCTAAGGGTTTGTGGTTTGGGGTTTTTTTCTGTAAGTTGTAAGAGTGTTTCCTGCACAACAACATGTTTAGTTAAAGGAGTTTTGTGATCTGAAAGTTGTTTCTTTGTTCTTTCTGCTTGCCTGTTCCTGATCTTGCTCTCTGTGCCTCTAGCATTTTGAATTCCACTTGTTCTAGCTGTAAATTCATGTTTGCTGGTGAAGGAAGTAAGAACTTTTGACTTAGATTTGTTTTATATAGTGTTCTGATTGGAGTTGTAGTAGTTCAGGTCTGGGAAAATAGAATGAGTGAGGATACAACAGAATTGTACATGTAAGTCATGTCCTGCTTCTTGAGAAGAATATCAGGTGGAACATTGCTTAACACAGATGTTGGAAGAGGGATTCCTGTAGTGTTTTTTCCAAGTGTATTGAGCTCAGGTTTGGTGAGGCAACTTGAACCCTTCTGTCTGTCAATGAGAGCTGTCTTTGTTCAGTACAGCCTAAAATGGGAACCAGGGTGATTGGAGTTTAAAGTGGGAAGACAAAGATACAGGACAGCTCTGTACCTCCAGATTTGTTTGCTGTATGTCTGCTCACCTAAGCATGAATGTTCACTAGAGTGACTAGATAAAAAGACAAACATTGAATATCGAGGGTGGGTTTGTTTGGGTTTTTTTGGTTTGTTTTTGGGTCGTGTTTCTTATTTGCTAACTGGTCTGTTTTCTCCAGGTCTGCTCACTTCAGCACTTTGGCAATCAAACAGAATCCACTGTTGGCTGAAGCCTATTCAAACCTAGGCAATGTGTACAAGGAGCGTGGACAGCTGCAGGAAGCCATTGAACATTACAGACACGCACTGCGCCTCAAACCAGATTTCATTGATGGATATATTAATTTGGCTGCTGCACTCGTAGCTGCAGGTGATATGGAAGGAGCAGTACAGGCATATGTGTCTGCCCTTCAGTACAATCCTGTAAGTAATGCTTTATTTTATAAAAGTCCTTTATTACTGCTTTAGGACACAAAACTAGCAGCTTTCAAAGCATGAACAATACATAACCCTTCCAAGTTGTATACCATAAACTTAATTAAGCAGTTAATACTATTTTTGAGGATCTTAGAGAGGCTTTTGTCTCTAAAAGTTGTGTATTACAGTAAGGGCTACTGGTTGTCTGCTTTTCTGTGTAAGTAACATACTTAACTTTTTAGATAAAAGATAACCAAGGCTTGGTTTTTCTTTTCTGAAGGTAGAAGCTTCAGTGAATGGCCCCATATTTAGCTTTGTGTGCTTTAAGATAGTACTATAGTGAGAGAATTGATTCTTAGACTTGAATGTGAGATCTCGGAAAATCACCAGGTATTACTTTTTCATGAAGTCAGGAATTTGATGGTGATGAGCGTTGCCTTGGTAAGGTTTCTGCTGTAGACTGTTAGATTTCCATTGTGGGCTGGTTTACAGGAGCATCAGTTTAGGTTTTGTAGGCTGAAACTGACTGTCTGTAAGTGACTCCTATAAGACTGATTGATCTGGTGTATGGATTTTTGGTTGTAACTGTTTCAAATTGACATTTTTAGTAAACAGACTGCTGTCCTCTGTTTATTTTGCATCATGCTCATTAAATTTGTATAGTATTGCTCAGCATTATAACGGTATTTGCTTGCTCTTTGGTCAAACATTTTGATAAAAAATACTTCAAGTGCAGCATTGGTCCCATGGGCATAAATCCTTTTTCTGTAGGAAAAGCAAAAGCAAACCCAGTCCAACAAGAGACTTCCTGAACCTTACTTCTCTGTGTTCTTAAGCTGGTGTGAACTTGTCTAACTTAATGTGCCAAGTGGTGTGACTAGTGCATGCACTGGTTAGAATAATGTGAGATGGTGGGTTTTTTTGCAGGAGTTGAGTTTTGTTTAGGTTAGTAGATCCTTTCATTAGTGTTGACAAAATGTCTACATTCTCTCTGGTCTTTACTGCTGGATAATGCTGTTGTAGATCGTGCTTTCATTTCAAACAAATGAAAGAACAAGAATATGTGGTAAAACTGTTGGAAATGGATGGATTAGTGGGCCAAACAGGGAGAAAAACTTTAGGGATACAGGCAGCAAAATCACTTCATGTATTATTTAAAAGCCATAATGGCAGTGGTGTATCTTAAGAGTATGGGTTTGGCATTGTGGTTGAAAAAAAAGTGTGGGGGGGCTTGAAATGCTTACATGTGGCAAAAGGACTTAAGCTGCTGGGGGGGGGCATTTATTTTCAGTTTTTTATTTCTGTATAATAGGAATTGTATGAAATACTACTTCTTTTTAATTCTTTACGGATGTACTTTTACAGTATTAAATTTGCTCAGATTATCTATTGTATGTAATCTTAAGTCAAAAAAATAATTTACATATGTGATGTATCTATTGAGAATCTAAAATAAGCTTTAGAGGACTGGGTTGTTCCTTGCAAATTCTCTGTGAAGACCTGTGGGGAATCTGAAGTCCTGAAGCTGATGGTGTGCTTTTGATTTTTCAGGACTTGTACTGTGTTCGTAGTGACCTGGGGAACCTGCTCAAAGCCCTGGGTCGCTTGGAAGAAGCCAAGGTAGGTGTTGGGTAGAATACATGTAAACATCAGTGTTTTGAAAACTTGAACTTTGCACCAAGTCTTCAAATCTGCGTTGATCAACAGACAGTCCAAGAAACTTCTGAAAACTGAAGGCACTGAAACACCCCAGAGTAGTTGCAGGGCAAGATATGGCATGTCCATGTTTAAAAAGTTGGTTTAAGTCAAGAAATGGAAAGTTACCAAGCCTTGCTGCTGAACTAGACTATCTGATACCATTCTGAAGTATTGGGCAGGGGCTCCATCATGCTTTCATCTGGAAATAAGTAACAATCCTTCAGATCTGAGGCTTGCCTGCTGGTGCCAAGCAGAGAGCCTGTGGTTAGCTCGAGATCCCTGTACGATGCAGGTGCTATTGAAAAGGCTGCTCTTCTAAAGTCCTTTGTGGCTTGTAAGTGGAGAAGAAACTTATCCAAATGTTACCTTGTAATATTGGCTTTTAAAGATTTTTATTCTTTTAACTTTTCCCTTCCCTTGATAGTGGAAGAAAGGCTAGTAAATAATAGCTGCAGTATGCGACACACACCACCCCCCCACCCCCATCCCCCAATATCTTTTCTTCATGTCTTCCCTCTCCCCTCCCCCAAAATAAAGAAATCGGAAGGACAAAGCTGGTTTGTTTGGTAAATGAACTGATCAAAAGAAAACTTGCTGTAGTGGAAAGGTGGCTTCTAGCAGTCGCGCGTTTCCTAAACCGAGAATTCGAACACCAAGATGAGTTGAAAATTCTTGGCACGTTAAAATTCGGATTGCAGAAAGAAATTGTCTTGTTACAAGCCACCTTACGCGTCCGCGCTGCAGGGGTGAGGAGTGTGGAGAAACCAGAGCCACTCTGGGCTCCAGGGCTGTCGCTCCAAGCCCCACGCGCATGCTCAGAAGTGGAGTGTATGAACAGCGTAGCTGTCTGTTTGGCTGCAGCACCATTTGGGGAGGGTGGGCATCTCTGCGGGCTAACGGGGACTGCAGGTTCCAAATTCAATATTGCTTTGTTTCTCATTAACAACCTGGATGCGTTACCCTAGGGCAGCCTGATTGATTCGGTCGGATCCAGGTTGAAAACATTGTGTAGCAGCATTCAGAATTGAACAGTCTTTGAGACACTTGGTTCTCAGCCCACCAAGCGGACAGCTAACACGAATTGCACTTCACTGCAGCTTTAGTGTGACTGGTTTAGGCCAAGACACTGCGCCTGCCTTAGGTTGCTGACTTCTTTGTTTCAGAGCTCTGGAGACACCTAGTTTGAAAGTGTTGTTCCGTTTTGTGAGAACTTAATAAACGAGGAAAAACATCTTGAGTAAATTGCAATGTGTTTCTTTGGTTATCAGTCCATTTGAAAGATCAAGCCAGCAGATTCCTTACAGTTTGAACTAAAATTTAATTTCTTTGTAGATGTTTCAGAGCCTTTCTTCCAAAAAAAAAAAGTCCCTGCTGTATGCAATTGCCCGATTAACCCTCTCCCTTCTGCATGTCTCCCTTGTTACAGACAGATTATCCTCATTCCCATGTGTTAAGACATATCCAAAAAAATGCAATTGCTTTGTTGAACTCTTACTAATGATCTTGTTTTATTTTCTCTCTTGTTTTTGGTTTTTCACCACTGATATTGTATTTAGAAGGTTTCAGGTGGGTGAAACCTCCTATTCCATGCGTAAGGTGCCTCGCTGAAGGGAGCTCGAGGCCTGGATCTAGGGCAGACACACACCTCCTCCTCCTCTTCCAGCAAGGAACGCACCGAAAAGTCACATGATGAGAAATATGGTAACGGGTTTGTAACTGCCACAGCAAAACCATTTGCCTCCATGCCTGAATCTTCTGTCTTGTGGCTTCAGAAACAGCTTAAAATATTTAATTACAAGCAAGTAATGTAAGAATATTTTATACTATTAGCCACAAATTCTTTCAAAGAAATAAAGTAAAAGTAAATTAAAATATTTTTTAAAGAAATAATTGGAGATAGTTAATAGTAAAAGCTTCTAACTCTTCCGGTTGTTCATTTTTTTCCTTTTTTCTTCTTTGTTTGGATTGCAGCGTTCTGCTCTTCTGATGATGCGCTGTGATCCTGCAGTAGCGCAAAGGCTGCGCAGCGGTAACGCGCATTGCGTGCGATTAAAGCCCCCGTGAACGGCTGACTCGATGATTAATCTCTGATCGGGCGACTGCCCGAGCTCCAGGCTGCAGCCTTTTGGACCAAATTGGCTTGTAACTCATTTACAGAGTCCAGACGTCAAATTTAACATGCGAGTTTTGTGTGGGCCTGTCTGGCAGATTAATGATTCTGGTTGGCTGTTCACTGCACCTTGGGGCGATCACTAGAGCCAAGCAGTTCGCAGCGATAGCGTGGCGCCGTGCTGGGTAGGATGCGCAGCGATTTCTTGCGCTTGCATTACAGGGACCTAAACCTTCATGCAATCCTGTCATTTGAGGTTTTGAAGCTGCAGGAGAGGTTCAATTGGATTTGAAGAAACAAGATGCGGATGGGGGGGTGTGTCATCGCATTTGACAAGCACATTTTATACTGAGGAATGGCTTTATCTTTTTCAGCAGATTTTTTTTTTTCTTTTTTGTTGTCTTTTTTTTTTAATTAATTTCTATCTGATTTAGAATGTTTGAAAATTTTGTTTCAGAGTAAAGTTGTTTTTACACAGCCTTTTTATATTTTTACGCACTTCAAGGCGGCAGATGTTCTGATGAACTCCTGGAATTGTTTCTAAGATGATTTTTGGTGGCAATCTGGTGTCTGAAGGAATGTTACTCTATTACCAGCATAACTGAAAAATGGTGGGCTTGCACCTGGGTTTTGGTTTGCGCTGGCGCAGGATCAACAACAGTTTGCAGCGCATTAGTTTTGGCGCAAGCTAGCCTATACTGCAGGGTCACTTTTGGCTGGTTAGAGAATGCATACTAACAATTATTTTTTCTCATTTTTTTCTTTTTACAAATATTCCCCTTCCCTTGTATCTCTCTTCTTTAACTATTCCAAGGCCTGTTACTTAAAAGCAATTGAGACTCAACCAAACTTTGCAGTGGCTTGGAGTAATCTTGGCTGTGTTTTCAATGCCCAAGGAGAAATTTGGCTTGCAATTCATCACTTTGAAAAGGTAACTACCTAAGGGAGTCAGCTTCACTGCTAGATTTAAATGTACATGCACTTGTGTGCTTGCAGGTGATAAATATTTTGGTAGTGGAGAACTTTATATGATCCTGTTAGTTGGCAGCTCATGTTAATTGGTTTTTTTTTAAACTTGCTGATGTTTCAAACCGTCTGTATGGTACTAGAGAGAGACACTTAGAACACCCCTAGGACTTCACACAGGTCAGATGTGAGAAAATTAATTAAATTGTTCTTCAGCCCTTTCCCGGACTAAATTTTTTAAAAATCTGATTTGATGATAATATTTTGCATATTTTGTGTGAGAGAAAGAATCAACTTGGTGCCTAAATAATTCTGCATTGTGATTTTTGTTTCAAGTATTACTGTCCTTCGAGTAATTGAGAAGAACAGTTTTAAGTGACACATTAATTTCTCCGGGGTTATTTTTCACTGCTGTTCAGATTTCTCTAGAGTAGTGTTATTAAGTAGTTGTCTGAGACCTTCCACTTAGAATTACAATACCAATTTTTGTCCTCTGAACAAACCTCTGAAGTTTCTAGAGTGCCCTAAAGGTGAATTCTTTTCACTGCTGTTCAGATTTCTCTAGAGTAGTGTTATTAAGTAGTTGTCTGAGACCTTCCACTTAGTGTCTAATTGGCATCGTAATTCTTTTTGTCTTCACCTCTGAAGTTTCTAGAGTGTCCTAAAGGTGAATTTAAGATGTGGCAACAGTTTCTTGCTGAAATTCGTGGCTTTAAATCTACAGAAAAAAGTCTAGCTGCTCAAGATTTATTTTTTTTGGCATCTTGTTCATGATAGGTGAAGTATTTTAATTTGGAATTAATAGTTCTCATGAGACTGTAAGAGTGGGGCTTGTCAGATACTCATGCGTAGCTTTGTACTGCAGCTTCTGTGACTTCAGCAGTTTAAGTGATTTTTTGCATTTTATTAATTTTGAAGAGAGCAAAGATGTTTTAATTAAACGGCTGCTCAGTTTTCCCTGCACATGTGATGTATTTGCTGTTTCCTTGTTGTGGACAGCCTGTTTTCATGCACTGGTAAAGCTTTAAAATTCTGTCTTACTTTGCAGTAGATAAAGGATACAGATGTGGTTTTTTATGGCTTCTTCTTTAATAAAAGCTAGAGACAATGTAGCATCAGTAGACAGGAGTGTTAAGTATGATCACCCTCATGTGAAATGGTTAACATTTTGTTCTCCAGTAGTTGCAACTCTATTGGTGGGCAAACCAATAAATTTGAAGGTAGTACATGCTGTCATTTCTGTAGATAAATAACTGTGCTTTGTGCTTGGTTTGTATGCTTTCCTTCTTTACTGATAAAATCTTAAAAGCTTACAGATTATGTTTAGAAAAATTTTAAAAAGCAGCAAACAACTCAGTTTCATAGCAGATATGTTTGTGTTGAATGCTCAAAACTCTTACTTCAAAAATATTTTCAGGCTGTAACACTTGACCCAAATTTTTTGGATGCTTATATCAATCTGGGAAATGTTCTGAAGGAGGCAAGGATATTTGACAGGTAAGGAGATCAATACTGTTGCTCTCTGTGGCTTGTCAGATATATCAAGATACAGATTATGTTCCTTCTGTAAAGTGTCTATGGGCAGGAGTAGCAAAGACTTGAACTCTAAGCTTAGCAAGCAGATGGCTTTGAAGTGCAGACAGACCAGGCTACCTATCTATTTAAATAAAAATAAAAAATTCCAGTGATACATATTCTTTCATGTTGCTTTCTTGTACATAATACATTGTTAAAACCAAGAGTTTCTGATGAAAACAGATTTGAAATTAAGGCTGGGGAGGGTGAAAATAAGATGCACAAGAAAGACCTGAATGCTAGATTTCTCTGTTTTCATTTTGAGATTCAGAACACAATTTGCAAGTGTGTCTCTTCTAAAATTTCCCTTCTCTTTGAGACAAACTGGAATGCTGGAATTCAGCTGAACATCTGATTGAATATTCTGTGTTTCTGACACGTCTGCCTCATGTTATTGCCTTGGGTTGCAGTAGTGTTGGTGTGTTGTTGAACTAACCTGTTCTGAGACCTCTGATCTGATACATGAAGCTTCTGTTTCTGGGAAAAGATCCAGGCTGTGTTGTTTATATGCAGTGTAGCATATTGCATCTGTTAATTGGTTTTTAATTTCTGACAGCTGTGGTTTGTGGCCCCAAATTTAATAAAAGTTTGCAGAGAACAGGTTAATTATCTGCACTGCACACAGTCTAAATGATTCAGTGATGTCTGGTTTAACCATGAATTAGTGGACCAAACAGGCATGTTTTTCCATAATTTCAGATTTTGCATCACCTTTTAATTATTTACTTACGGATATTGTTACAGTTTTCCTAGAAATTGATTTAAATACATCAGCCATTTATGTAGTGCTATAGGAGCATATATAATTAAAGATTTCACTTTTGAACGAAGTGATGCTTTAAGTCTAAGTAAATAATGGTAGGTTAATGGAGAGAATAAAGATGTGATGTGAATTGTTAAAATTGAATAATAAACTGGCAAAAAATGGGGGTAAGGAAAAAAAGGGATTTTTCCTAGTAATGACAATGTTAAAAAAAAAGTAGCTGAAAGCTTTCCTTGTTTTCCAGAAGACTTAATGTTATTCACTCTACACTGTACCAAGGTAAATAATTCCTGCTCTCTGGATGATTGTTCACCTTTGTTTTTCCTTCCTTTTGTTGCAGAGCTGTGGCAGCTTACCTGCGAGCCCTGAGCCTGAGCCCGAATCACGCGGTTGTGCACGGCAACCTTGCCTGTGTGTACTACGAGCAGGGCCTGATAGACCTGGCCATAGACACCTACAGGAGGGCCATTGAGCTCCAGCCCCACTTCCCTGACGCCTACTGCAACTTGGCCAATGCCTTGAAGGAGAAAGGCAGTGTAAGGAGCACTTCTTTCTTCTTAAAATTGCAGTGAAGGCTTTTGTAATAGACACCAGCTGTCACAAATTTGTTAAGTTGTTGGGCAGGTTGTTAAGATGGATGCTAACCTCACTTAAAAGGAGGAATCATTCAGGAAATCTCCATCTTGAACCTTTTAAAAGTGATTATATCATGACTTTTCATAAACAGTGCTTTTACAATAAATGTTACAATATTAACACTGCCTCTTTTTTTGAAGGTGGTAGAAGCAGAAGAATGCTACAACACAGCCCTTCGACTTTGTCCCACTCATGCAGACTCACTCAACAATCTGGCAAACATCAAGCGGGAGCAGGGCAATATTGAGGAAGCTGTGCGTCTTTATCGGAAGGCTCTTGAGGTACAGTTGAGTGTGGGGGAACAGGTGGGTGTTTCAGCTTCAGGACAGGTTTTTCCCCACCTCTCTAAAAAAAAAATAAGAAAAGACATAATAAATCTATAACTGTTTTTGCTGTGGTCAGCTTGTGATGTTTGAGACTAAGTCAGTTTCTTTTTCTTCCAGGTGTTTCCAGAGTTTGCTGCAGCGCATTCGAACTTAGCAAGTGTTCTGCAACAGCAGGGAAAGTTACAGGAAGCTCTGATGCATTACAAAGAGGCTATTAGGTAAATGGATACTCCCTGTAAGAGTCCCAGCCTTTCCTAATGTTAAAATGCCTAGATTTGTACAGAAGGTGACTTAGTCATGTGTTGTAATTTCTATAGTTGCTATTCAAATGGAGAAGTCTGGGTATGAGCATGTTTTCTCGTTGGGGGAGGAGCTTTTCTTGTTCATGACATATTATGTTTATTTTTCAGAATCAGCCCCACGTTTGCAGATGCTTATTCTAATATGGGAAACACTTTGAAGGAGATGCAGGATGTTCAAGGAGCTCTGCAGTGCTACACCCGTGCCATTCAGATAAACCCAGCTTTTGCTGATGCCCACAGCAACCTGGCCTCGATTCACAAGGTAGCACATGCCAGTGATTCACTCTTAGAACAGTGTGGTGGGGCACTGTGAGTAGTTATGCTGAGGATATTTTTACCTGCTGACTCATTTCTGTATCTTCACAGGATTCAGGGAATATACCAGAAGCCATTGCCTCTTACCGTACTGCTCTGAAACTGAAACCTGATTTCCCAGATGCCTATTGCAACTTGGCCCACTGTTTGCAGGTGAGGAAGATGGGGCTTTGATTGTGGTTCTTAGGATTCCTCTGCAGAAGATTACTAATTCAAATGTAAAGAGTTAGAAGTTCTCACTTCCATTTTTGGAAGAAACATTAATCTCAACCTCTGAAATAACTGATACAGGCTGGTGGAAGCTGTTGTCATAATCTTTGTTTTTCCTCCTTTTATAGATTGTCTGTGACTGGACAGACTATGATGAAAGAATGAAGAAGCTGGTTAGCATCGTAGCTGATCAGCTGGACAAAAACAGACTGCCTTCTGTACACCCACATCATAGCATGCTGTATCCCCTTTCTCACAGTTTTAGGAAGGCAATTGCTGAGAGACATGGAAATCTCTGTTTGGACAAGGTAGGAAGTTCTGTACAGGCCAGTTGTTGACTGTTGGTTGAAGTCCTTTGGGGCTTTGCTTGTTCCTACTCAAAATCTAATATTCAGATTTGTCAGTATTAGCCTTTGTAAGCTTTCTGAGTCACTGACATGTGAAGAGGTGGGAGGTAATGTTCATAGCTATTAGTGCTTGTGATTTTTGAGGCAGACTACTTGTGCAGGTTGCCATTTATAATTGAAAATGTGCTGTCAGCTGGTGGGGGGGTCCAGTTAACTAATGGAAGATAACACTTTGTCAGAGTGACTTGTCTGAGTAGCCTAATAATCCTGTCAGAGGTAGTGGTTGCAAGCTGATGCCTGGGCAAGATGGAGAGCAAAGAACAGAACAAATGCTCTGATGCTTTACAGCAATGCTGTTCTGGTTACCAGTGTCTTGTGGTTTGAGAACTTCCTGAGGATCTTGTGTGGTATCAGGATATTTAATAATCAGGATGGAATACTTAAAGTGTTAGAAAAGCAGAAATGTGGTAGTGATGTCTGTATTTGTCTGAGAGCAGAGACATCCCATCTTGTGACACAGTGTGTGGGCACTGCACTTGGCTCCAGGGGAACACGTAGAGCACAGGTTTGGAACAGCAGATGTCCATGACTGCTTGAATGTGGGATAAGGTTAATTCTGCAGCCTCCTAGGGGGGTTTGTCCCTTTGTTTAGATTTTAGTTCCTATGTTGTTAAACACTTGTGTGTTTTCTTGGCAGATTAATGTTCTTCACAAGCCACCATATGAGCATCCCAAGGATTTGAAGGCCAGTGAAGGTCGACTTCGTATTGGCTACGTGAGCTCTGATTTTGGAAACCATCCAACCTCACACCTAATGCAGTCAATTCCAGGCATGCATAACCCAGACAAATTCGAGGTAAAAATAAAAATGGCATGCTTAAAGCTTTAAATATGCCAATAAGTGGCATTTTTTTTCCATGGTGCAAGCAATTAAACAAGGAAAGAGCAACTTTTTGTTTCTTGGGTTTGTTTTTTGATGGGCTGAAGAGTTCTTCAGCCTGAGTCATCCTCCTTTACCAATATGAAGTGCTGTTTTCAGATACACTTGTGGTTTCCTACTTGGGAGAACCAGTCACTGTTAAAAAGCTTCCCTGAGGCTTAGCTTGTCTATTGAACCTGATTCATAGTTATGATTCTCACTAATTACAAAGTCAGAGGTGACTTGAAGGCATTCTTAGAGATCTCATTCTTATGCAGATCTGTCTGTTAAGGTTATTTTGCCTTGCACTGATGAGAGCAGTGGATATATGTCTGTGCAGGATACAGTGCCATTCTCTGGCACAGAACTAGGCCTGGTTCAAGTGTGTCAAAAAATGGCCGTGCCTCTTTCTTGACTTCTTTCTCAGTTGGTAAATGCCATGTAAATTAACTATGATTTGTGTGAAACTAGTTGTAATTTAAAGTTGCACAGTTATTTTATGGACAAGTTGTCATAGACAGTCATTTTTGGTGCCTCATATTTTAGGTATTCTGTTATGCCCTGAGTCCTGATGATGGGACAAACTTCCGTGTAAAAGTGATGGCTGAAGCAAATCATTTCATTGACTTATCTCAGGTGAGCTTGTTTTATGCATTGACCTTCTAGCAGACCTGAATTTTTCTAAATGAAGAAAGAGATGAATCTGTAGTTTGAGATTCTTAGTTGCAATTATTTCTTGAATTAGACTGATGTTAGTCTTGAGAATTTGAAATTTGTAGATTTATTGGCATTATGCCCTACCTGGGTTGAGGTGGTTATCTTGTGACCTGATTATTAAAAAGTAACATCAGTATTTAATAGCTCTAACATTAAGGCTCAAGATAAGTCATATTTAAATGTCACGGAGAAGTCAAGATGTCACAACTGAAAATACATTTAAGCTTGCCTTAGGTTCAGTGTGAAAACTGACCAGGATTTCAGTATACACAGAAGTCAAGGCAAAACCCTGTAGTGTAGTTAACTGGCTTAGTCTTGATCTTCATTTTGATCTTCTGTACCTTAGTTTGTGAACGTGCCACTTGCCCTATGTGAGCTTTAACTACTAATTAGCCTTAGAGGAGTGGGTGTGGGGGAGGGTGTTCTGGTTTGTATAGCCTCAGTTTCTAGCCTTTAGCTTTTGTTTTACTGCTACTCAGCTCTACTCCTGCATTGAGGATTTATGCTTCTGTAAAACCAGGATTAACAAGATTTAAGTCTCACTTAAATCGAATTATGCAGTTGGCATCTGTCCAGTGTTACACTGATGACTAACCACATTTATTACTGGAAGACTGAAAACAAACAGAGCATGTATTTATGTGTTTATTTCTTTATTCTTAGATACCATGTAATGGAAAAGCAGCAGACCGCATCCATCAGGACGGGATTCACATTCTCATTAACATGAATGGCTACACCAAAGGAGCCCGAAATGAATTGTTTGCCCTGAGACCAGCACCTATCCAGGTAGCTTAAGTTACAGGGCTCTTAGTAAACCAGAATCAATGTCAGAGTTTTTTGGGAAGATTTTTTAACTAAGGATTTTCTAAAATTCCTGTGGAAAGAGAATGAGAGGAAGCTTAGTCAGAGTCATTCTAGATTACAGGAGTTGTCTCAGGTGAGAGAAGCTGTAATCACTGATAGTTGACTTCAAGCTGCTCATTGTGGGGAAAATTTGCTTGAGAGATCAATTTTAGAGCATATTTGAGCTGTTCACTGTCTTGGTATAGAAAGTTTGGAGTTAGAGATTGATCTTCAATTGGTAAAGCAGAAAAGCAACTTGAACCTGTATGTAACAAATATAAGTTAAAATTGATTTTAACTCTTTGTTTTTGCAATGCACATGGAACTGAAGCCTTGCTTTCTTGTTTTTTAGGCAATGTGGCTAGGGTATCCTGGAACCAGTGGGGCATTGTTCATGGATTATATCATCACAGATAAAGAAACTTCACCAGTTGAGGTGGCTGAGCAGTATTCAGAGAAATTAGCTTACATGCCAAACACTTTCTTTATTGGAGACCATGCCAACATGTTCCCCCATCTGAAGGTACGTTGGAAGATAGGGCAAGAAAAGTAGGTGTTTTCCATAGGTGTCTTTATGAAATGGCACTTGGTATAGTATTGGTGAGGGATCTTGTAACCTCTTGATATCTTTTCTTTTGACAGAAAAAAGCAGTCATTGATTTCAAGTCCAATGGTCATATTTATGATAACAGGATTGTTTTGAATGGCATTGACTTGAAGGCATTCCTGGACAGCCTTCCTGATGTCAAGATCGTTAAGGTGAGAGCTGCTCTTGCCTGTGTACAGTCCTGGGGACTGCAGGTGGAGCTCCCTCTGATCCCTGTGTGATTTGTCTCAGATGAAGTGTCCTGACAGTTGTGACAACGCCGATGGCAACGCCGCCCTCAGCATGCCAGTGATCCCAATGAACACCATTGCAGAGGCTGTGATTGAGATGATAAATCGTGGGCAAATTCAGATTACCATCAATGGCTTCAACATCAGTAATGGATTAGCAACTACTCAGGTGAGGCACTTCAGGACACTGTTCTCTTGGTGTTTGTGTTATATATGTATGTTTTCATATAAAACAATGAAGAAAAATCTCCAAGCAAATGTATTTTCTGTCATGTTGATTCCTTTAGTTGTCATACTGAAGGAAGCTCATTATAAGCCACAGATGTACTGGAAGATGATCTTCCCCCCAAAGATAGAGGAATTGTATCTAGAGGTATCTAAAGTCCAAACAAATTCTTTCTTGTTGCATTCAGAAGATATTTGCTTGTTGTGAATTTGAAGGCAAGATTTTCTTATTGCCTGCAGCCTACCAAGATTTGTGACCTGTTACTCAGTGTCAGTTGTATTTTTCTGTTGGAAAAAAATTGCTGAGTAGAGGTGAAGTTATTCCACTGTATTTCAACAACATTTATTCATTTCCTTACACCTTTCAGAGTTTTGCACTGTATTAGCACCTCTCAGTGCTTAACAGTTCATGGGATTTTAGTGACAGTTACTGGTGTTGTTTAACTTTCCTTCCTCTGCAGAACAGTTTTTTCCTTTCAGAAACGCCATATACTGACGTTAGCATAACTCGTTATCTTGTGAATTTTACTCAGTTTACAGTCGCTCAGGAACCTCTTTTACATCATTATGATACCTTTTATTACCACTGCTCTGTTCATAACCTCATAGTTTGGTTTATTTTTGAGTTCTTTTCTTCACAACTGAGACTCTTCTTTGAGTTAGTAATAGTTTGTCTTAGTTTGATCAGTAATGCTGTTAGCAATTTCTCTGAAGTTGTCATCTCAGAATCGTAGAGAATTCTTGTCTTAACATTCCACCACTGAGATGAAGCACTCTCAGCTCTGTCTATGCACTACTAAAACAGGATTACTAAAACAGGATTTTTTGAGGTCTCAGTGATCTGAATGAGTAGCATATTTACCAGCTTCTGTTGAGCTGTTGTGCATCTTCTAACAGGCAGTGACAGTGAGTCATTGTCATTCACATCAAGTGTGCCATCAGTGGCTGGCTGCAGTGCCACTGTCTACATTTTTAATGAATATGTATATAAAAATACACATATATAAGGAAAAAGGCTCTAAGTAGCTGTGTTGCCCTCTCTGTTTATCTGGTTCTGATCCCATCATGACATGTCATTTAAAAAAAATTAAAATTCCTGCTTCCATTTTACTAATCCTCAAGACTTGCATGGTAACTTGATTATTCTGACTTCATCCTCTGCTCTTTTTTATTAGCATTTTCCTATTCTTTGTGAAGGCTTTTTAAACGTTTGTCATTAACTCTTCTTGTTTTCAGCATTTTCTTTGTCAATTGGTTCCTTACAGTCTTATCAGTTACATACAAGTCTGCTTCTATTGATTATCTGTTCTGTGCCTACTGTGTTCTATCTTAAAAAAGAAAAACACACACAGAAAACCCACCCAAAAATAAACCACGAAAATCCAAACAAACCAAACCCCAGCTTTGCTTTCTAAATACCTTTTCATTCTGTCTTTCAGTTTTAATTTCATTTTTGGTCTCAAGGAAGTTACATGACCTTAAGGAGGATAGGATTCTGTGTGTAATGCCTCTTTATATGATTCTTCTTTCCAATTATTCCAGTTACTTGGAATTTCGGGGAGATATAGGAAGGGCATGAAAGTGCCCAGTGTTTTTTGCCTTGGTGGTTGCAACATTGTGGCATCCACAAGCGTGTACACATACCAGTTAAATTCTTGCTGTGGGTAAGTAGACAACTTTGTTTCGTATCATAAAACCAAAGATATGTTTACAGTAATTTATTACGCTAACAAATGTGTCTCAAGACAATTCCACAGGGCATGGTCTTGTTTCCTGCAGTTTCAGTGTTTCAATAGCTTTTTTTTTCTTTTTCTTTTAGATAAACAACAAAGCAGCAACTGGTGAAGAAGTTCCACGGACTATAATTGTTACTACCCGTTCTCAGTACGGCTTACCAGAGGATGCTGTTGTGTACTGCAACTTCAATCAGCTCTACAAGATTGATCCTTCCACCTTGCAGATGTGGGCTAATGTGAGTATCTGTATCCAGTAGGAAATCCTGGCAAAGCTGTTCAGGTTAGCAGAAACTTCATGCAGGTTAACTTCTCTCTGGAAAACATTGACTTTGGGCCATTTGAATCCTTACAGTGCTCAAGTTGCAGGCCTTAGTGTTAGTAGCATATAGAGGGTGTTAGATGCATTTCAAATTATATCTGTGTATCTAGCCAGTGAAATTTATGTTTGGGACAGCTTAAGTGTGCTGGTTCTCCATTGTGAAATAAATTTGGATTTCCTTAGTTCATGCAATTGAGTTATAACTGGCCTTGGCAGCTGGTACATTGATAAATCTGAGTGAGGAGCATTTGTATCAGATTCCAACTTACAGTGTATTGTATAAATGAGATCATAAAGTTGAGTGCTTACTCTCTTAAGGAACTGCTCTGTACACTGTTGCTCAGAGTTGCTGTCTCTTTATGTGGGATCAGAAATGCAATCCCAGTGATTTCCTTCATAATGGTGATCTCTTTAATTTCTGCTCTATATCTCAAAGAATGATGATGCCTTCCACTTCATTTTAGTATGTGGCAATTTCTTGCTCAGAAAAGTAAATGTTCCTGTATGAACTTCCTGTATTTTCTTCTTATTTTTGTTGCAGATCCTAAAAAGAGTTCCCAACAGTGTGCTGTGGCTGCTACGTTTCCCAGCTGTAGGAGAGCCCAACATCCAGCAGTATGCACAAAACTTGGGCCTTGCCCAAAACCGAATCATCTTTTCACCTGTTGCCCCCAAAGAAGAGCATGTGAGGAGAGGGCAGTTGGCTGATGTTTGTCTGGACACTCCCCTCTGCAATGGGCACACAACTGGCATGGATGTGCTCTGGGCTGGGACTCCAATGGTCACTATGCCAGGTAATGCAGAGGGGAGCCCACATTGAATACAGGGGTTGGAGCATCAGTAGCTTTTTAGTAACAGCAAACACATCAAACTGTGCCTTTTGTAGAGGCAGAAGGAAAGTAGCTCCTAACTCCTGTGTCCTAAGTTACTTGGTAAACTCATTCCTGGTTGTTTTTGTTGGTTTTGATTTGTCTCTTGTCTTCTTTTCTTCAGGGGAGACTCTTGCCTCACGAGTTGCTGCCTCACAGCTCACTTGCCTGGGTTGTCTTGAGCTCATTGCAAAAAGCAGACAGGAGTATGAGGATATTGCTGTGAAACTGGGAACTGACCTGGAATAGTAAGCAAACTTGGATTCTGTAATGTGGGAACATTTAGAATGCAGAGTACTGTATTTGGGCACAATGCTGAGACATCAGTAGTTTTAATCCTGCAGATATTTTATATGTCAAATAGCTGGGCAGTCCTCTTCTGGAGGTGTCTTGTGTTGCAGTTGAGTCAGCTTCTGCTTTTATGGTAACTTAACAGCACTCCCAATTGAGTAACAATTCTGAAAAAAATGCTTATGTGTGAAAGTGCAACACAGATCACATTTTGGTCTTTTTAAATGGAAGATTAAGCAGTTTGTCACTTCAAATTAAAATAATGCTGTGAAGTGTTACTGCACTGCAGACAATGCAGCGAGTTAATGTTGCAGCTCTTCTGATTTGAAGTGGTCATGCTGGTCTGTATCAGAAATGAGAGGAGATGGAAGAGGAATTTGGTGGAGGTGGGGGAGCAGGTGTTTTTGAAACAGTTGTACAGGCAGTTCTGGGTTAGCTGAAAACAGCAGGTTTCAGAGGTAAACACGATGTGTTGTTTGGAACATCTCATGACTGCTTTAACTCTCCTTTGTAGCCTGAAAAAAATCCGTGGCAAAGTGTGGAAGCAGAGGATATCCAGCCCTCTGTTCAACACGAAGCAGTACACGATGGACCTGGAGAGGCTGTACCTGCAGATGTGGGATCACTGTGCTGCAGGCAACAAGCCCGACCACATGATCAAACCTGCTGAGGCCAGCGAGTCTGCATGAGGAGACACTGCCCTGCCCGCCAGGAACTCGCCAGGAACTGAGCCTCTCCAACACTTGTGCAGAGATGATGAGCTAAAAACTGTGCATTTCTACTTAATCTGCCTGGTACTCTGTGGCTGAAGTAATACATGATGGTGATTAAAGCACAGCCAGACTTATTTCTTGCATGATAGGGAAAGACTCAATAGAGCCTGGGATCCTTTTATTCCATGAGGAATTTGAATGGGATTGAGCCGTGTACATGTGAGCCTGTGTGTGTGAGTGACAAAGTGGTTGCTGGGGGAAGTTTGAACTGCCCGACCAGTTTATGATATCATGGATTGATTTAATCTTCCTACAAACCTCTCTCCTTTTATGTGGATTGGGAATTGGAGCGTTTTAACATTTGATTTGGGTACTCCTGTTGGTATATGTGTGGTTCTCCCATGACAAGATTTCCAGCTAGCGAGTTGCTCCCTGTGTTAATTTCTAAACTGCGTGGACTGAAAGGGCGTATGTGCTGGTGTAGTCTTTTTTTATAGGTTTTATAAACCACTTGAGCCTATATCAGCCTTTTAATGTTTGACCTCTGTTTTGGAGCTCTCTCTGTAATGTGTTGGTTAAGATAAGGACTTTTTTGGTTTTTGTTTTGTTTTGTTTTTTTAAGCTTCTCCAATAATTCAGCTAATTGGCTTCATGATGGCAGCTCCTCTTCTGTTAAAAAACCAAATTTGATTTGAAATTAATCCTTCCCACAAGTGTTTGAGGTGAACACAAACTGGTGCCAAATACAGATCTTTCAGGAATGATTGTTAATTATGTATAGGGGTGCAGTCCTAGGTACTGTAGCAAAGACTTAAAAAAAAAATAAAAAATAAAGCTTTGGTTTGCCAGTTTGACCGATTTGACCGCTGTGTCACGTTTTGTGCTGCTGTCAGCAAGAGCACCGTGCTGGCCGTGACTGTTCCCGTGTGTGAGGAGCGCGCAGCTCTGCGGGCAGCAGCGCCCGTTTTGGGTTGGAAACGGCGCAATTTCCGCGGGCGGCGCGGCGCTGTGCGCATGCGCGCGGCGCCGGAAGCGCGGGCCGTTCGAGCGCCATGGCGGGAGCGGCGGGGCCCGGCCCGGCCCCCCCGGGGCCCCGGCACCGGCCTGGGGGGCTCCGGCTGGGCCGCGGGGCCGGGGCAGCGGCCTCGGGCGGGACGAGCCCCGAGAGAGCCGCCGCGGGGAGCCAGGGCTGGCGGAGCGGCAGGTGAGGGGGCACGGGGGAGCAGCGCCGCGGCCCGTGTGTCCTGACGTGGTTTTGTTAGATTATTTACATAGAGAGCTCTTAAATGTATACCTGTATTTATAGATATATATACATATACATACACATGTATACAGCTGTATGTGTTTTTACATATATGCGTGCATGTATGTACATGTATGTACATGTATGTGCATATGTGTTCATGTATGTACATATGTATGCATGTATGTGCATATATATATACACATATAATGTGTGTGTATATATATAAATACGACATACTACATTGCATGTAGTACATGTTCTGTGTATTGATTTATAATTCCAGATTATGCCCTGGGTTGTTTCATGGTGATTGGTAGGTATTGGCGTGTCTCAGAATTGCAATCTTTAGGGTTTAAGGAATGTCCATTTTAAAAAGCTGTCTTCCTGGTTTTTTCAGCAGCTGCATCACGTATTTTTTTGACGGTTTTAATGTGTGGTTCATGTTCTCCTAAAATGAAATAAATGACTTGGTAAGGGTGCTGTGGGCTGCCTCTACATTTGCATGGCCATAGCAGTCCAGGTGGAAATGCTTCCATTCTGCCTCTTGGAATGGCTGTGTGACAGCTGCTGCATGCTGCTAAATATTCATGGCAGCTCTGTTAAAGTGCACTTTATGCAAAAGCAGCTTCTTACTCATCAGTGCCTGGGCTGGGGTTTCAGGTTTACTATAACACACTTCTCTGACAGATCACAGACCACGTGTCAGGCAAAAAACCAGCTTTCTATAAAGAGTTAAAATCATTCAGCCTGTCTGTTTCACACCAGTGGAGGTGCAGATCCTGCTGTGACCTAAAGTTGTGCATTTCATTTTTGCAGCAGTGCCCTGTACTTCTCTTCCAGCAGCGATGACGAATTTGAAATGTGTAAGTAATGGCACAGTTTGTGTTACGCAGGAGTTTGACAAGAACATTTCTGTCTAATTAATTCTGTCTAATGTGAAGCATTTTTACACGTTGCTTTCTCTCATTGCTTGTGCTGCACAGTAATTCTCTCCCTGCAGAGCAGTCGTGGTGTCAGTGCCACAGGGAGTGTTCTTGAATTGCCTCAAGTTTCACTCTTTTTGCCTTGCATTATAATTTCTTACTGCCTCAGTTTTGTCTGTTCCCTGTCACTCACTTGATTCCTTTTTAGTCTCCAGAGACTGGAAAGAGGTCTTCTAGTCTCCTCTAAGAGATTTAGATCCTCTAAGACTTTTAGTCTCCTCTAGAGACTAGAAAGCTGCTGCTAGCTTTGAGGAATTGAGAGCTTGAATTATATGTAAATATAATTAGTTTGTTTTTTGAAAATACTTTAGACCAAATTTTTACTAGTTGCAAACTTTAAAAATGCATAACAAGAGACACAGAACCTTGTTCTTAATTAATCTTCTTTTGTTTCAGTTTTAGCTAGACTGAAAACTCCCAAGTCTGTTTCTAAAAAGGCAGATACAAGGTGGGTGCTGTCATTAATGAATTTTCTGTGTTCACATTTTAGTATTCTGTATAATATTTACATTTTACATATTTAATCTGAATAGAGGAAAACAATCTGAAGGTGTATTGATTTATATGCCAGTCTAGGAGAGAGTGCAGACAGACCTGTTATATCTTCAGTCACGTTCAGGGCAAATGTAAAATGGGATATTTGAATGTTCTTGTCATTCCTATTCATGGATGCAGTGGGTGACATTTGCTGGGAGCAGCTGATGATGTTATATTGGGTGGCTTTTTTTGGATTGCTGTTTTAGTAAGGCAAAGTTGCTGCTCTATTTTTCTGCTTACTCCTACCTTTATTCCACACAATTTGCCTTTTTTTCTTTACAGTTTGAAAGACTTCATTGATGACTCGGATGATTTCTTCTTGGACTTGAAGGTGAAAAAGAGTACAACCAAGAGTGGTAAGCAATCATCTATAACAAAGAAAATGATAAAATGTTTTACTGCTCTTTGTGTTTTCCTATCTTTCAAGGGATTCCCTCTGTGTTAAGACAGAGGCAGGTGTCCTGAATGCATCTCCCAAAACTTCAAGCTCTTTCTTTTGAATTGCAGCACAGAAAGATCTTCAGACCCCAAGAAAGCTGACGACTCCTGGAAACAGAAACACCTGCTGCCAAGAATTGCAGTATCCAGACACTTCAAGTGACATTGAAGATTCTGTCTTTGCAGACAGTCCCTGGCTGAACCACCAAAAAGAGGGAGTGAAAGACTTGAGAGAGAGTCAGAAGTGCAGAAATCTTTCACCTCCACAAAATCGGAAAGAGTCAGATTTCAGAGGCAGTCCAGATTGGCTTGTTAGAAGGAAAGAAAGAAGCTGTGAAGATACAGAAAATAAATTGCCAGCTGTGGCACTAGGGCATGGTGCAGGGGTGGAGTCAGATAGCTCAGATGAGAGTTTTGGATCTTTAATGGAACGGATAAAGAAGCGAAGTCTGCCCCGCAAACCAGCCCTAAGCACGAGTAAAACTGTCTTTCAGCCCAGCACCACAGGTGAGCAGTTCTGAGCTAACTTGCAGTGCTAATTGCCTGGTTCTTTCCATTTGTGTGGCATCAGCCCCTGAGGTGCAGCCCAGCACCTTGAAAAGGATTTTGGTGCAATCAAAAATGACTCCTCTGGGCATTCAGAAAAGCCATCTTGTGCTGTCAAGATGTCAGTTTTTCACTACTGCTTGTTTTTATCATTATAGGCACTTTTTGTTTTTAAAATTATTCTGAAAGCAAAGCTGGTGGATCCTCCTGGTGGTTTCTGATGATTCTGTGATTTCTTTTTTTAATGTATGCTGTGTAATCCTGTGATTCCTCCTGTTGAACTAGAAAACAGCAAGCCACCCTGCAAAGATGCTCAGCCTGTGAAAGGGGAGGGAGTCAAGACACCAAAGCCAAAATCCATTTCACTTCAAGAAACACCTTCCATGATAACGACTCCTGCAAGAATTCCTGGGAATGAATCAGTCAGCTGCTCACAGTCAGCAAAGACAGAGAAAAGGTGAGTGTTTCTCCATTGTTCCTGTGTTCTAGGACAATTCCAGAGGCACAAAGAGATGCTAAGCATTTTGCATAGGATGATGTGATTCCTCTGCTACCTAGAAACTTCTACTAATTCAGCATTTGTTAATGGTTGAATAGCTGGAAAACAGAGTTTTCAGGTTTTCAGTCTCCAGTAACAGGGAGAATACAAACTGATCTCTGCCTGGGGGAATTGATGACAAATAGATCTGGCAAATGTCAAATCTTCTTTGTAAATGTTATCTCCTTTGCTATTCCTTGTCTTGTACAGCATGTGGTGGCTCTACAGGTTGTATATATCCAACTGCTTACCTCTGAAAAGATGCCAAAACTGATTCTGTTAGTAATTCATACCTTTTAAACAAGACCATATTGGTTTTTTTAAATCTGTATCCTTAGAACTTGGAGAATTTGCGTTTCTTTTTCTATATGTGGATGCAGCTTAGGCTTTTCAAAATAATGCATTTTTCATTTCTAACAGCTGCCCTTGTTATGCCTCCTAGCCATGTGCTGTTTCTTTTAATCATTTTATAGTGGTGTATTCAATACCAACCCTTTAAATGATATCTTTAAAAGGTCAGAATGCTGCAGCATTGGAGTTAGTAATCCTGGTGGAGTATCTGCTTCCCCTGAAATAATTCCTGAGCATTCCTGGACTATCTTTGTCTGTTTCTGAAAACACACCTTTATTGTGATGATCATGGTAGGGCTGTTCATATATTGATTACATTTTGGTATAGTTGTGGCTCACTGTGTCACAAAATCTGAGTCTCTTTTCCTACTTAGGAGTCCTCATAATCTAACTTTGTGAATTAATGAAGTAACTGCAGGACTGTTGCAACAGCTCTGCCCCTTTCATGCCCTCAGAGGGGTAAGAGGACAGCCATGGCCTCATGAGGGCAAAGCTGGTGGAAAGAGGCAGGAGAGGTTTATGCCACTTGAAGCATCCCTGAGATCTTTATTGGCTTTCAAGTGGCCATTATTATTTCCTGTGTTTTTCCATATCTCTGTACTTCAGCAAACTGCTTAATGGCTTTTCTTGCAGGCTCAGGGTATGTACAGTGCCTGGTTGTTTCTTGCAAGATCTTTCAAATCCAGCCTCCCACTATGTGAAGTATTTCAAGAAAAATAAAGAGGAGCTGGCCCAGAAGCTCTACAGGCTGTTTAATAGTACTATCTTTGAGCAGAAGGTTGGTTTCAAAACAAGAACTACCATTCTAAAATGCTGGTTAATATGTTGCTCCTCACCTTTTGATGTGATTGCTCTTTATCCTCTTCAGATTGTAGAAGTTAAGCTTTATAGCAGTGGGTTGTTTGAATCAGTCCAGGCAAGTACTTCAAAAAGGGTTTGTCCCCACTGTGGTGCAGCAGTTTTCAGCCTGGTTTTGCTTTCCCAGCTGTAATGGAAATGCTGCCCATAATCTGTGTTCCTTCCTATTGGATGTTCATGTCTCCCTTTCTGGAACAGATTGGAAAGGTCATCCTTCAAATAACAGTTTAGGGTGAGCATAAAGCTACAAGCTGTGTTTCAAAGTTAGGGTTCAGTATCAGAGAACTCCTGTCTTGACCTGGGATCATCATCTGGGATATTTGGGACCCTCCTCTGGTGAGAAATGTCCTTGAAAGGAAGGGTACTGCCCTCAGTAATTCCAATGGGATTTCCCCCAGGAAGGAAAGTGGTTTTTATGCAGATGAGAAAATAGTGTTGAGCTGACAGGCTGAGGTCATGATTTCACAGAAAACTGAGCTGAACAGACTCGCTGTTGCTGGAGCAGATTATCTTACTGCCCAGTGCTTCAGCCCTGTACCTGGAGGTACTTGGAGGTAGAGTAGAGGAACTAAGGACTTCTGTCTCACCCTGCATTGGGAAACTCTCATTGCTGGTTACAGAAGAACTGATGGTGGGAATAAGAGGCCATGGAGGGGATTGGCATCTTGAGTGTTAGGGGCACCAACAGAGACATCCTGGACTGGCTTGCACTAAATACAAGGGGAAGCCAGAAGGAAAGAGAAGAGGTAGGAGAGGGCAGACTACATGCACTGCTTTGTTTTTCAGTTACCAGAGGACATGGTAATCACCTGGAATAAGAAAATGAGGAAGACAGCAGGGTATTGTGTAACAGGGCAGAGGGGAGGCCCTGAAGGGAAGCGTTACGCTCGCATTGAACTCTCTGAGAAAGTCTGTGACTCTGCAGGTAGGTCAAAGAAAGGGTGTGTTGATTCTTCTTTGAGGAAGCAAGTTTTAGTGATAAAAACATAAATCTGATGCTTAAGAGATCTGGAACTGGAACCTGCTTTGAAATTTTATCTTGTATAAATAAATAAATACATGTATGGTTTTATCCACATTCCACAGCCCTTCTGAGAGGCTGGGCAAATGTACAAAATGTGGTGAGAACAGGGATGTAGTCACACTAACTGCAGTATTGTTTATATTTCTTAATGATTTGAAGACCTACAGGCTAGGTGTTAGACTCTAATTCTGTGTTATAATGGCAGTCTAAAATCTGACTTCTTCCATCACAGCAAGACACCTTGTTGGTAGTGTTTAAAGCTGGAATAAAGACAGGTCAGTGCCAAATTAAGTTCTGTTGTGCGGTACTGTGATTGTTATTTCTCCCTCATTCCCTCTGGATATGGGAAAATGAATCATAAAATGGTTTGGATTGAAAGGGATCTTAAAAACCATCTTGTACCAAACTCCCTGCCATGGGCAGGGACACCTTCCACTAGAACAGGTTTCTCCAAGCCCTGCCCAACCTGGCCTTAAACACTTGCATGGCTTTACCAGCCAAACAAAAAGCCTCAAACAGGTGAGGTGTGTGGGGGAGTAACTAGGATGCAGAATTGGGGCTGACCAAAAACTGGAAATGCTTTAACTAAAACCTTGTTTTGGAGCATTTTATCTTAGCAAGACATTGGCAGTTTTAACCTTCAGAATAATACTTGTATCTTAACACAGAGTGAGTGTCAGAGGCCTAAAGCAGTGACCAGAGGTGAGCTTGTTCTTCCCCCCAGCTGATTGATGTTTGTCTTTGTTTGGTGTCCCCAAGATCGCCTTCGGGACACGCTGATCCACGAGGTTTGCCATGCAGCCACCTGGCTCATCAACGGCATCCGCGACGGGCACGGCCGCTTCTGGAGGTTCTACGCCAGCAAATCAGCTGCCATCCACCCAGAGCTGCCAGTGGTGACACGGTGCCACAGCTACGAGATTAATTACAAGTACACCTATGAGTGTGTTCGCTGCAAAGCTGCGTGAGTCATGTTTTCTAACTTGTCACTCGTGTGTCTGTCAGGGTGCTCTGAAATACTAAAGCAGTTTGGATAGCCTGGTGTTTTCCAGAGCCCACAGAACCTCAGTGTGTGATTCCACATTTGTTTCCACATAGTTCTAGTTCAGAGGTCAGGACAGGAAGGAACATCATCTGAGGATCAGTGGTGATGAGAGAACGTCTTTGGAAAGCAGTAAGAGATACATACCTAAGCTTTGAAGGAAAAAATCCCCATAAAAGCTGGGCACAGAATATTTGACAGTGATTAGATACTAGATAAAACTACCAGAGGAAGCTTCCAGCTTAAAGTCCTGATGACTTTAAATTACAGCTGCAACCTCACAGATGTGAGCTGCACTGTGATGGGAAGGATTGACACTAGGACACAACCTGTAATAATGACACTATTTGTGACATTTTTTTTACCTCAGGATTGTATGTGTGACTCCCAGAAGTACTGGAAGGAGACGCCTCACATACCCCAAAGTGTGTATTAGGACTATGCAATGCAGTAGTTGCTTAGATGCAACAGAACATTGAGAAGAGTTTTTTTTTAGTGATGTCTTTGAGGAGAAACTCCAAGAGGCAGTTGAAACATGGGTTGTGGAGGTAGTTGAAAATGAGTATGAAGTGCTACAACACAGTCTGAGAGTAGAAGAGACAGCGGAAGGAGCCAGGCTGAAAAACAGTGGAAAAAATACGAGGGTAGAGAAGTGTAGCACAGATTGATTGTACCACTGTGTAATGTCCTGTTCCCTATTCTAAAATACTGCCTGAGCAGCAGAGAAGGGGCCCTTTGCCACGAGCCCTGTGGAGTCCAGTGCTGGTTCTTGCCTTCCAGGATCGGGCGGCACTCGCGGTCCCTGGACACGGCGCGGTTCGTGTGCGCCTTCTGCGGGGGGCAGCTGGCCCTCAGGCAGCCCCCGGCCCGGGGGGGCACCCCTGCCAGGGCACAGCTCACACCCTTCGCCAGGTATGTGAAGGAGAACTACGCGCTTGCTAAGAGAGAGCAGCACGGGCTGAGTCATGCTCAGGTCATGAAGAAACTCAGTGCTGATTTTGCTGCGAAAACCAAGCTGGAAGATTCCTTCTGATATCTCAATCCACCTCCTTTCTTGGTGCTACTTAAATTGTTTATAGAGAGTAGTAAAAGTTCTGAGCAGCACTAACACATAGCATGTCTTCAGTGACTCCAGTAAGGGGTTTAGTTTCATCTGGGCAGCTGATACGCTGTGGACTCTGTGTGTGTGCAGAAGAACTGCTCCCTGTGCATCTGGCTGCAATTGCCAGAGGCAAGAAAGTCCAGGCCCACCACTAAGTCCTCTGACACTGAATGACTCCAAGGCAGGAAAAGGGGCATACCTGAGTTGGGCTTCAATATGGGTTCAGATATTCTCCCATGTAGACTTTCCTGAGAAGTCCTTGGCTGATTTTGTTAAAATTAAGTGGTAGGTAGAAAGCCCTTTTACCCTCAGTAAGTAGTGTACCTCTATTATTGAGATTTCATGGAAACTAAAATAGATGCAGAAGGTCACGTTGGGGAAAGCAGATTGAAACACTTTCCTCAAGAATGAGAAGGTCTTGTCATGGCTTAAGTCTTTCATATAAAATGCAACTGGGATGTGTGTTGTAGTGTTTGTGTCTTCTGTAAGCAAATTGCTCAGGGCCTTAATAATTTTGATAATAAATGCCAGTTTGATACAAACTCTTGGAATAAACAAGGCTGCTTTGTTTCAATTTAATCATGGCTGTGTAGGAATAAAGAACCCTGGTACCAGCCCAGCTCTTCTGGCTGGGGGTCAGCACAGTCATTAACATCCTTTGGTCACTGGGATTACAATCCAAGGATCCCCATTCCAGGAGTCCCAGGGCTGCTGGCTCATCTCCCAGGAGCCCTCAAGAAGCCTGGGGTCACTGAGGCACCACCCTCCCTTCTCCAGCATCATGAAGGTAAGGAGCACTGGAACTAGAAACCAACAGAAAAACAACAGCACAAAACCACTGACCATTCAAAAACTGATTAATTAGTATTCACAGCACTTCTAAGGAAAAAGAAAACAGTAGTGAGCAGTATACTTCAAGGAAGTTCTACTCTTAGGGGGTTTGCCAGTAGAAATGTAGCAAGATTGAAAAGTCAAGTCTGACAAAGCCGTGGGGTTATGGGGTTCCACATCTGCCAGCACTTTAGAGCTGCTCATCACTACTGGCTGTCACTGGCAGGGAGTGCCTGTGCCTCAGCTCTGTCACTGTAACTGTCCCATCCTCTGCTCGCGTGAGACAGATTGACATGACAGAACACAGATGAGGATGTACATGATGGGGGATACTGTGAAATGCAACAGCAAGTACATTTAAAGGGATTAGTTCAACAGCTATTTCATTGCAGCCTTAGGAAATTTCTGCAGTTGAAGTTCAGCATGGAAGAATGTCAGACTGGTATATCCATGAGTTCTCTGCCCAGCATCTTACCCTCCTTCCCTCTGAGAAGGAACCACAGTCCCCTGGCTGAGCCAGCAGAAACAGTTCATTTTCTAGAGAACCTCAGTGCTGGGCAAACACCAGCATTACATGGAGTAAGAGAATACAGACTGACCAAAAAATGCAGGCACTGGCACTTGGTAGCATTAATTTCATTTTTACTCCCAACAGTTCTAGCTTTGGAATTGTTTATTTGGTTTGACATATGCTGAACACAGATCCTATGTCAAAGATCTTCCAGGTCTGTTCCCAAGCTTCCCTCCCACCTCCTGCCTGCCTGGGGGAATGACCAGTGATCCAGAACATTACTAGATATAAGATCATGGTCAACTGAAGCTACTAAGAGAAGGCAGAAGTTGGCAGCATGAGATATGACACCAGGGACACACTCTTCCCCTCTAACCCTCCTGTTCCAGGCTCCTGGAATACATGTAAAGCAGCAGGATTTCTGTCAAAACATAGAGGGAGAAACAACAGGTTCCCTAGGTGTGTGCTCTCCAGAACAGGAGTCTTCAGGTGCTGCCCAGCCCCACCACTGAGCCAGAAGTGCAGCAACTGCAGACACAGCATTGCTTTGCACCAGGCTGGGGCAGGTAAAGTCCTGATCCTGGAGCTGTGCTCTTTGCTGCAAGACAGGAGGCACAGCCAGTACCTCCACTGAGGCAATGTGGGGCCACCCTTCAGCCTGGAGTAGTTCTTGAAGATTTTTTTGTGTCACTTTCCTGAAGGGTCTGCATTTCCTCCTCACTCTAAAGCAGCAAGTTCCTCCAGCAGCTGCTCCTTCTCCTGCTGCAGCTCCTGCATGCGCTGCTTGTTCTGCTCCAGTCTGTCCTCGAGCCACTGCAGCAGGGGCCCACTGATGGCTGACATTTGGCTGCAGAGGTTCTTTGTGAACACTGCAAAGAGCAACAAGACATCCTGCAGGACAGCACACAAAAGACTCAAGTGTGCTACAACCTCCCCAAAGCCCAGAGACAGCCAAGGAAACCTCCAGCATCCTGGGCAACCACACATCTGCACAGGAAGGTCAGAACCAGCAGCTTCTACCAGGGAAACAGCATTTCAGTGTGACCCAGGCAGGCATGACAGATCCACAATGAAAATCTGCACACAGCTAATCACTGATGCTAATTAATTTCTAAATTTAGAAGCATCACAGAATGCCTCATTTCCTAAATGTGTGAGAATGGACAGTGGTGTGATAAACTTGGAACAGAAGTGGGATTAGGATTCACCCCATCACAGTGGCAAAAGGGAAGATGTCACATCCATGTAACACCTATAAAGTGCCAGGAGATGGAAGTGTGCATACAGGTCAGACAGGCACTATTTTAACACTCAACAAATCCCAAATCCCCTTTCCTGTTCCAACAGAAAAAATAACCTGAACAAGCCAAGCCCCAAAACCCCAAAAAATCCCAAAGTCTTCTATAATTTTAACCAATTCCACAAGGCCCGAAGGGTACAACATTCATGATTCACCCAGGATGAGGGTGTTCTACAGCCTTTGAAGTTTTTAAGTTTCTAGTTATAATTCTGTTCCTCCGTAACAAGATTCCACCATTTTGACCCTGGGAGCAGCACCCTGGATTGTCATGTGCAAGAAAGGAATCCTTACCTGAGCCATTATGGATCTTGGTTACAGAGTCCAGATGGGTGAGGCTAAGGGAAGGAAAAGAAAGCAGGTTAGAGAGAAGACAGCAGAGAACTGTGTATTAAACCCAGCTGCCCAGGAATCCCTACCCAGACCACAGGTACACCTAAACCTCTTCACCTGCTGAAGCCCTGCACGTTCACAAGGACAACAACCCCTGATCACAAAACCCCAAAATTCTGCTGCTAACCCCAGGCTCAGTACTGCAGACTTCAGTAACTTCTAGAGGCACAGGAGCTGCTAATCCTCAATTTCTACAGCTTTGCTAAGGCTTTGGTAGTTTTAAGTACAGTAGAACATGTCAGCACAGACAGCCTTGGAGAGGGGCAGAGCCCGGGCTGTTACCTGTGGATTCTCCTGTAGGCATCCTGCTCTTCCTGGCAAAGGATCTTGGGCAGCTCCACAGCTGACTCCAGACACACCTTCCCAATGGTTTCATGGGGGACAACATGAATGGGGATTTCAATCCTGTCATATCTACAAGGGTATGAGATATAATTAAAAGCAGCAAACGAAAACCTGACTTCTACAACCTTGCCACAGTCTGTCCAAGGCCTGGCAGTGCTGCAGATCCACCTTTGGGAACACAGGCCTGAGCTGACAGGCAAAGGGAAGCATTTTATATCCACATACTTGTCTTGAATTTTATTTTAAGGTGCAAACCTGAGGGCTTGACCTCTAGAGCTGGAAGCAAAAAGGTGGTGCTGCTACACACCAAACTGCAGCACAAATCCACACCCTGACCTCAAATCTTAAGAGAATAAATATCTAGGCTAAAAGAATCACTCCTAATCTTTAGATTCTCTTCCAGCAGTCTGCAGGAGCAGAAGTCAGGAGACCCTGTGTAGGCATCTCTGTATGTTTGCTCTTCACACAGGCTGAGAAGTCACTTATTAGAGATAAGCCAGAGAAAGGAGAGACAAGACAAAATACAATCAGATAGAATATTCTTCTGTACTCACTCTGAGCTCTTCTGGGCCTGAACAGACTGGAAACAAGTATAGAGAATTCTACCTGTCTAAGAGACACAGCAGAAAGTCAGATTCCAAAGGCAAAAAACATCTAAAAGGCAAAGACACATTCCTGTAGGAAGCTTTTAATATAATTCCAGAGGTTTTGCTGTGATTTGCTTGCTGGAGATGCTTAAAGCATACATTGATAAACCTTTAATGATAAAAAACTCAAGCAGCAGCTGCCTGGACAGCCTAGACCTGACTGTCAGCTTATCTCACACCTCCTGCAGAGGCTGGAAGAGGGGCAGAGCTGTGTGTGCTGGGCTGGACACCCGAGGGAAGAGCCCTGGCCCATTCCAGGCACACTCTGCAGCTGCTGCTGAGCCCCCGGGGCAGCTCAGAGCAATCATCACTTCTTCTCCTGCCCTTGGGATCACAATCCAAACCACTCCCACTGTGCTTCCCACGTGCTCCCAGCACAGCTCTGCCCTTCCTGCAGGCTGACCCAAGGACCTCAGCTCTGCCCTGCTGCTTCTCATGAGCCCCTGGAGGGTTTGTTGCCATTTTTCAGTTGCCTACCTTGGTGTTCTTGTCCTCAATGAAGCAGGAAAAGATGAGCCCTACAAAGCCTTGGTCCATCATCTGGTACATGGCCTGTGTGCGGACATCTGCAGGGACAGGATGAGAGTGAGAGCTGCCCTGGCTCCTGCAGGGCTGGGAAATGATCTGTCTGCCCCTTCTGAAGGCTGATCTGCAGCTTGGTAACAAAGGTCTCAAACTTTATGTTTACATCCTCACTCTGGGTGACTTGAGTTCAAATACAGAACTTGATCCAATTTAAAGCGCAAATAGAAAATCTTAAAAATAGAAAATGAGCTCACAAAACCAAGAAATTTTCTCAGAGCCAGCCTGCTGCCACAGGTCCCCATGAAGTCCAACACATATAAGGTGCTCCAGGTACTTCTTTTATGAGAGTTTTTAGCTATGCATTAACACACACAGGTATCAGAACTCATCGTGGCAGGCCCAGGATCCCCACAGCTTTTTTTTGTGTTCCCCACACCCAAGGTCTGGTTTTTCCCTCTGGAGGAACAGCAGTGCCAGCAGCAGCTGATCTGTGACTCCTGGGCCACGTCTGAGTCCTTGGAGAGCACAAAAAGGACTGGGGCTGCTGCAGGGCCCTGCAGCCCAGCCAGGCAAGCAGGGAACGTTCCAGACCCTGGGCTGCAGGGACAGTGCAGGCTCAGCTCCTGCAGGGACAGTGCAGGCTCAGCTCCTGCAGGGACAGTGCAGGCTCAGCTGCAGGGACAGTGCAGGCTCAGGGCTGCAGTTTGCCAGGGAGAGCCCAGGGCTGCTCTTACCCACGTGTGAGGGCCACACGGTGATGTGGGGGTGGGAGTGGTACCAGCCCACCACCCTCATGGGGCGTCCTGTCATCTCTGCCAACCTGTGTGGGGGTCAAGGAGCTTTTGCAACAACAGACAGAGGGAAGGGCTGCATGCACAAGGGAAAACAGCACACTTTTAAAGGGTTTGCTGTGAGGCAACAGAATTCCAGATCCCTTTGGAGGAGAGAAGAGAAACAGAGCAGGGAGGGGTGCCTGATGGGAGCCCCTTCCCCAGCACCACCAGCAGTCACTGCTGCAGAAGCAAACTGGATTTTGGTTGCATGTGGCAACAAACAACATTTCAGCAGCATCCCTGAGTGTGTGCACAGCAGAGGCTCCCCAGTGCAGCCCCTGGAGCCCTGCTGCCCTTTCCTCTTCCTCTCAGCCTCCCTGCTGAACTGCCCCCCCTCCACAAACACACTGCAGCTTTACCTGTGACCAAATTCAAAACAATAACAAATTTATAACACAGTGCCACTGCAGAGCTGGAACCCACAGAGACTCCAGGGACAGGCAACAGCCAGCACAGCCTCCCAGCAGAGCAGCTGCAGGAGGGAGCAGCTGGCAGCTTCAAGGCCACTGCAGGCCTGAAACCCAGCCCATGGAAGAGCTCTGAGCTACAGCCCTTCACTGGGAGCCTCTGCTCAAGGATATCTCTGCTTCGGTGGAAGCAGCTGAGAGCTGCTCGGGCGAGATCTCCACACGGTCCTTCCTCTTGTCAGAGCGGCGCAGGATTATCACGGAGTGGATGTGCACGATCCGGCTGGTGTCCACCTACCGACACAGAGGGGCAATCAGCGACTGCTGCTCCGCAGGGCACGGGCAGGGCCGGCTCCCCCGGCTCTGGCTCTCACGGGAGCGGAGCCGGGCGCCGGCGGCTGCAGGGCCGCACGCCCGGGGGGAGCCGGGGCCGCTCGGTGCGCGGCGCCACAGCCCGCACGGGCAGCGCCGCCGCCCGCCCATCGCGGGGCCGGCCCTCGGCGGGCGGTACCTCTCCGATGCAGAGCCCCATGACCTCCTCCTTCTCGGTGCTCAGCGCGTGGTTCAGGCACACCAGGAACGCGTCCGCCTCCAGGTGCACCGCCTGCACCGCCATCTTGCCTGCCCGCCCCTGGCCCCGCCCCCTGGCCGCACGCACCAATGGCAGCGGCGCTCGCGGGCCCTCCCAGCCAATCGGCGCGGCCCCCGGCCAGGCGAGCGGTGCGGCGCGCCGGAAGGGCCGTGCGGCCGCTGCGGTGCCGCGGCCGCGCCACACCCCCTCCCTGCCCGCTCGGCCCCGCCGCCCGGCCCGGCCCCTGCATCCCCTCCCTCGCCGCCCTCGGCCTGCCTCCCCCCGCGTTATGTCCATCTTCTTGTCTTCCTGTTTTTTTTAGATCCCACCAAAGCTCGGCCTGCCCTCCCTCGCTGCTGGACAGCCCGGCTGGTCGGTGAGCATCTGCTACCCCTCGTAGGTCGGGCGGAGCGGAGCGTGCAGTCACAGGGGCTTGCTCCAGGCAGAGTAGAGTCCAACCCCCAAGAAGAAGCTTTAGAGTGTCTCCACATGCCCTTCAGCCAGCAGATCCCCGAGCTGCTGCCAGAGCCGGGCTGGGTTTCCCAGGAAGGCTCAGCAGCCTCGCAGCCCCGGGCAGTGAGGCAGCTCTCCTGCCCAGCTCCCCTGCCCAGCTCTCCTGCCCAGCTCTCCTGCCCCAGCAGAAGGCCAGGCTGGCCAGCCTTGCTCTGGGGCTGCAGCTGTGCCATCACAGTGCTTTTCCTGCATGCCTGAATGGCAGCTGAACTCCCAGGTGCTTTTTAGAACAGAGGTGATAAGGGCTGCAGTTTATTCAGCACACTGACCTCCAGCTCTGGGGTGGGCCAAGCAGCATCTGGAGAAATTTCTTTCACTGTTTCCGTAAAATATTTTAATGTACGCAACAAAACCAAATAAATTGTTGTCGCTACAAGCTGCATCCCTCCTCCTGGCCATTCTGACATTTATCCATCCATATATAATGGCTCAGAAATCCATCCAGGTCCCAGAATAGCATTAAACCTCTAAGATTGATGCTAGGATGGACAGAACATCTGCCAGTATTATTCCTGTCTGTGAGCACTGGGTTTGAATCTCCCCACTTTGAACAGCTCAGCCTTCTACAGCTGTGTTGATGGAATGTTAAAGTCTCAAAGGATGATGCTGCAATCCTGCAGATTTAAGCTGTTGGGGGTTTTGTTGGTTGTGGTGGGTTTTTGATAGGTTATGAAGCAAGCAGTGTGAGAGCTCAGGTTTAAAACTTGTTTTAAAACATAGGTAAGCTCTCTTCTCCTTCCACCCATGTCTTCCTTCAGGCTTTGTTTTTGCTTTCCAGTCAAACCTGCAGCAGTAGGACACTGTGCATGTGTTCAGGTGCACTGTCTGAGCGTGTGCTTGTGCAATCTCCAGTTTCTTTGGTGTGTTTGGCTGCTGCAGACACCTGGCCCTGCTCAAACCCTGTCCCACCCCACACCCCACTCCTGTCCCTGCACAAACCCTGTCCCTGTCCCACCCCACACCCCACTCCTGTCCCTGCACAAACCCTGTCCCTGTCCCACCCCACACCCCACTCCTGTCCCTGCACAAACCCTGTTCCTGTCCCACCCAAACCAATCGACGGTTTTGCCTGACTCAGGGTTTTCCATGTGGCACCACGTGGGCAGCCCCACAGGGCAGACTGAGCTCTGCAGTCCTGGGGGCTTGGGGCAGTTCCCTGGGGCCAGGGGTGGCAGCACACAGTGACCTCTGCACCAGACCTTGCTCTGTTGGGGTCTCACCGCTGCCCTCTCCACTCCCCAGGAACACAAACCTGCCTGGTGTGCTCAGCCCTGCTGCCTGTAGTTCAGCCAGGGCAGTGTTTGGACAGGAGACCTCCCAGGAGAGCTTACCTACAGTAGGAACCACAGTTCACTTACTGAGACTTGTTTTCTATTGCTGGAGCCAGTCTTGAGCCTTCTGGTTCTGGAGGTGATGAGCTGTAAGAATTCCAGCTTTGAATGGAATAAAAGCAAGTTCTTGGGCATTTCTGGTCATGATGGAACTTCTTGCAGTTTCCTGCAGGGCAGCAGAGCATCCTGGCCGAATTCCACCTGGGGTGATTGTGTTCAGCTGACTGAAAGTGATCAGAGGCAATTGCTGATTTCACTGTTGGGCAGAGCTCCACTCGGGTTTAAATTCATAATGTGGCTTAGGGTAAAGCAGAAAGGAAAATAATTACAGAAATGTCCCTTTAACCCTAATTCCTGAAGGCCTTGTGAGGCTTGTCAGACTGCAGTCACATTCCTGTAAATGCCAGTGATGCAGCTGGTGGGGCATTCCTTGGGATGCCTGTTCTTCATCACAGGATGGCAGCCAGAGCAGTGGTGCTTTGTGTAGGGCACATGCACATCCCCACACATCCAGCAAGGAGACAAACAGAACGGGTGGAAAAAAGAAGGAATAAAAGAACACTCAAAGTTTTCTTTGTGCTGGTGGTGTTCAGGCTGATCCGTGGTTGGTGTTTTGTTCTCAAAAAGGCTGAGAGACACTAATGTAAGGTGTGGAAGGCATCATGGAAGATCATTTTCTGTTATATATGCACCCCAATGTATAACAGTTTATTTTTTTTCTCTCCCTGACCTTCCCTCCTTTATTTTGTACCCAGATTTTCTTGCTGCTGTTTGAAATATGCCTTATAACCTTACAAGTTTTCAGAAGACCACTGTGTTTCACTGGGATAAGGAATATTGCATCTGCTTCATAGCAGGAGGATGTTGTATGTGTTACAGCTTAACTTTGTTCTACTTTACACCTAGATAAAGGATGAAGACTGTCTGTACCATTTTGATTACCTCTTCTAGGGTTCAAAGAGAATCATTTCCCCTGACCTCCATTTGCTAATGGCTCAGCTTGATCTAACTGGCACACAGATAAACGTGCTGTTAAACAAAAGTTACAGTAGCAGGCACCACCTCAGTGCCCCAGGCTCCTCTGCCGTGGGTGGCTCTCTGTGACAGCCAGAAGCCGAGTGCCGCAGTCCTGAGTGCTGCTCCCGAGGAGTTGGGGTGTGAATGGACAGTGCTGCCACCCCTGAGAGATGAGACAAAGGACCCTGCACCCCAACAGCTCAGCGAGCTCCAAAGATGAGAGTGCTGCACACCGAGCTCTGTGCTGTGTCTCCAGAGTGATCTTCGCTCCTGTGAAGCTCACCTCGCTGCTGGTCACGAGTTTTGCTTTTGGGATTTAGACCACCTCTCTTCCCCCCCGTTTTACACCAAGACTGTTACTAGGACTGTTAGCGGAATGAGCAAAGCCCATCCTCGCAGGGTTTAACTGTGCACCGATAGCACCTTTTGCCCAGAATGCCTTACCAGTGCCACCCAGCACGCGTGTCCCACTGTGCGACCCGGCCTGCCGGTTCCGCCGGCCTGCGCACCGCCCCGGCCTCCCGAGCTGACTTTTAGGGACATTTCCGCACGTAGCATCTGATCCGAGGAGTCGGACACCGCCTGGCCGCGGGCCCGGAGCTCTGCCCCTGGACGTGCGGGCCGATGCCGCCGCGCGGAGCCGCCTGAGCGATGGCGCAGGGCGGGCGGGCGGGCGCTCCTCCCGTGCGCCTCTGGGTGCGCCGCGTGGGGGTTTACTGCGATGAGCACCGCAAAACCTGGCTCGTGGCTGCGGAAGAGGCAAGTGTGCGCTTTGCGCTTCCCCCTGGTTGTAGCCTTGCTGTTTCGGGTGCCTCTGCCAGTAACTGCCTGCTCTGTTTGTTACTCTCCCCCAGGAGGAAGGTATGCTGAGGGCTCGGATCCAAAGAGTTCAGGTTCCCCTGGGTGAGGCGCTGCGACCCAGCCAGCTCCCCCCATCCCGGCTGCCTCACATGTGGCAGCTGTCCCAGGGTGAGCAGTACAGGGATAGTAACTCTCGCGTTTGGGAGATAGAGCACCATCTCATGGTAAGGATGGTGGCGACAATAGAACATAGTCATTCCTGTTTGTGAAGTCATTTGAGATCCTTGAGGGACGGCAAAGGACTGTTACTTTGTTGAAGTCCATTAGCTCAAGCACAGTAACTGTAGACGTATTGAACTTTTCCTTGTCACTTACAGCTTGATGGTGTTGAAGAACTGCTGCTTAAACTCGTGCCTGGGGATTAATCTGGTATGTGCAGACATTACCCCTGCTTTGTACTGTGCACTGTTTACTCCCGGTCTTTCTTTAATATGAATTTTTGTCTTTCAGGAGCAGTGGCTCTAGGAAGATGCCATTGTCTGTTTTGTACAATAAAAGGTTCTCTCTCCACTGAAATGCAGCCACCTTTGAGGTGGAAGCAGTTAAGCAACACACAGCAGCATCACACAAGAGTTTAGGACAGGCAGTGAAGAGGAGTGTTGTGACCAAGTGAAACATCAGGGGGAGTTCTAGGTAGGCAGAATGTAATTGCCCCAAATGGAATTCGGCCAGGATGCTGCAAATAATGCCCTAGTGATACTGGGAACTGCTGTGGGCTGGTGACTTGTCAGAAACTGGAAAGGCAGCAGCTCCCAGCTCTGAGCAGAGGCTGAACGTGGCTCAGAGGGTTCAGTCTCACCACCACCTTCAGAGACACCCCTGCTTTCCTTAGAGGTCTCCCGTTCAACTACTGGTACCACCAGCTTTTGCTTGGCTTTTGATCTTACACTGACACAGTTACAGGTGTCACAGCTGCAGAAATATCAACTCAAGTGTCTGAAATCCTTTTGTGATGGATTTGAACAAGATGGAGCTGTCCTCCAGTCTGGTTGCGGGGTTTTTTGGGCAGAAGGAGAGGATTTCCAAGAGACTTCCTCCTGAAACAGAATGAAAAGAGCCCTTCTTCTTGGCTTTGTGGCATATACACAACTGAGTTGTTTGGTTGATTGTTCTTTTAATGCCATCTTCAGCTGTGGTTCCATGACTTGCCACCAAATCCTTGGTTGTGTAAAGCTCACAGAGGTGGATTTCACATAAATTATGTGTCTCAGTATATGGTCTAGAGATAGAAAACTCTTAAAATTTAGTCAGCCGTGTTAATTTGAATATTTTCTGGAATCTGTGTACATCCAAGTAGAAAAGGACACATTTTAACTAGAGAGAAGAAAAAGGCTTTTAAACTTAATGACATGAAACTTATTCTATTCATTATCCCCATCATCATCTTTCAGCCAGACAGAGTTCTTGTGTATGCTGGCAGGCACCTGGAAGCAGCAGTAGATGTTTTCTGAATTATGACAGTGGGGGAAAGTGGGAGCTCCTGAAAGATGTGGCTGTAGGACGTTGTCTTTCCCCCACCCCCTGAAAAGAACCCTGATCTACAGTAACATTTTCTGTCATTTTAGCTCCTGAACATGTCTCGGAAGGATCCCTGCCAGAAACAAGCCTGTGAAATACAGAAATGCTTGCAAGGTACTAAGTGTCATTTTGTCTTTGGTGTCTTGATTTTTGTTAGAACTTAATTCTTTTAACTTAACCTTGTCCTTTCACCTTGAGAAGGAACAAAGCACATTAGCATTGCCTGGTTGCAAAATGAACAAAATTATAATGTCTGATTTTAATAGAATTGCTTTGTGCTTAATTGTAAATAATGAGACCTCATTAGTATAAAGCAGATCATTAGTAACAGTAATGTGCTTGGAGTGTTCTCCATGCTGGCAGTGAGATCCCAGGTGTATTTTTGGGACTCAGCTGTGGGCAGGAAGAGCTAGACATTATAATAAGCTCTCTTACAGTGTGGTTAGTGAGGGAGTAGGTGGATTGCATGAGAAGACTGCAGAGCTGCTCTAGGGGGGTGTTTCAAGAGCAGGTGAGACAGAATTCTGTCAGGAACAGGTTAGGTGATCTGTCCTCGAGGTGAGATGGTCTTCATGTCCCCAGAAATTGTCTAGAGACTACTTTTAATGTCCTCATGGTTTGGAGCATTCTCCCCACCTTCTCTCCCTGTGTTACTGCACTTAAAAGCTGATGATTGACCCTATTTTGGTCCCATCTGTGGCAATGCTCTTTTTATAACACTTGTAGAAGTTATTCTAAGTGTTTTTCCTGTGTAGGTTTGTGTGCAGTGTTGATGTGAATGGTTGAGTGTTGGCATGTACACGTCACTGCTGTTCATCTGATGTGCTGTGGAGCTGTCTGATGTGCAACATGAAACAGAGAGCAAAGCAATTTTCCCCTGTAAAAATTTAATACAGAGCCTTAACTGAGGAATGCACAGTCACTGCACCCAGCGTGTGAGATGGAGGGTGGGAGCTGCACCTCTGGGAGATGCTGACTTCTCAAAAGTCATTGTTCCAAAGATCTTGCTGCTCCTCTGTGAGACTGAATGCCTGATGTAAATAATTTTTGTGTTTTTCTATCTGTGAGTAACTTTCAGGAATCCATCCTTGACAGATGATGGCGTGCCTGTACATTGCTACAGTTTTAGAAACAAAGCTGGAAAGGCAGAGGGACAGTTGGGAGAGCCTTGGAGCACTCATCAACTGCAGGTTATGGCAGAGACAGGTCAGCTCTCCTCTCCAAGGGCCTGCCATGCCTCCTGGGCTGCCAGCTTGCAGAAATCACCACAACCTTTTTCTCAGGGCTGATCTCTGTGTTTGTATTGCAGCTCACTCACCAACCCACTCAGGGAATTCATAGCCCAGTGATCACAGCAGTGTGGTTTGCTCATTAACCAGAAGGTGTTCACTGCTGCTTTCTGGGCTCTCCACAGGTGCTGTGTGTCTCACATTATGCTGCTGTTGCTTCTTTTAATCTTTTAAAAGTCAGAGTGGGTCTGAGTGCAGTTGTGTAGTGGCTGCAGAGCTCATCCAAGGCAGAGCAGGTGGCTGTGCATGCCCTGTGTTTCTGGGCAGACAGGCAGGAGGTTCTTAACTCAGACCAGACTCAGCCTCTTCCCGCAGGACTCCTCTCTGAGTCACAGAGAGCTTCAGATAGCTGCAGCTAAAGAGAGGTTTTTGTGAGCTAGAAAATGATGGAATGCTTGTAGGCAACTGAAGAGCTGGGCTAGGTGTGCTCCCTCAGGGAACAAAGCCTGTTCCCCTCTGCAGACCTGGTGTCTCCTTGTTTTCCAGCAAACAACTACGTGGAGTCCAAGTGTGAAGCTGCGCTGCAGGAGATGCGGAAATGCTGCGCTCGCTACCCCAAGGGCAGGTCCATCTGCTGCTCAGGGTTTGAGAGAGAAGAAAGGGAGAGAGAAAAGGCTAAGGTGACTTCAGAAGGAATTTCCCCACCACCTCAGTAACACAATGCAGCTCCAGCAGGTGCTGGAGCATGGACTCACTTGAAGAGCTCGTGTGTGTTTTTTCAAGCCTTCTTTAGACTTTCAGAAAAGCCAGATTGCTCCTGGAACACACCGTTCAGCACACCAAAAAGCATTACACAGTACCAACATATGGCCTGGTCAACAGACTTTATTTTCTGTACGAAAACATAATCTATGTTGCCTCTGCATCACACCTGTGAAATGTCAACTTGATGTTTTTAGGATGCTTACCTTACTCTAATCCATCCTTGCTCTAAAAATGGAGAATTGGAACCGAGTTATTCTGGCTTCTGGAGTGAGAGGTACAGGAAATGAGCTCAGAAGAGTGAGTTTAAACATGAAACAAACCCATCTTGATACAACAAAGGTATTGATTGCTGCCACCATGCAGTAGTTCCAGACATTTGCCTGTCCAGTGGTTCAAGCTCAAGAATGGGCATCAGGTCTGATGATTGTTCCTAAGTCTTGTATAGATCATGAGTGACTACAAGTCACTTTGCCTAAGTGCCTCACTTTTCCACTGGACAGAGTTGTTTATTTTATATTTGAATTGCCTACACGCTGCTATTTGCATGATAAAGATGTTACAGGAATATAATTTCAGGGATTGCTACAGGGATAGGATATTTTTTTAAAAAAGCAATATTCATTTGAAAGATTTGACTGTTGATACAAAATTTATAAATTTATGTCTAATTGAACACCTTTAAGCAATATGCTTTGAATCCAAGTCTAGTTAAAACTGCTGATACCCAAAGGCCTGTCACAGAGCCCTGGGCTAGATCCAAGAACTGACTTAGGTGCTGCTTACTGAACAAGCAGTTGTAGGCAGTTATTTTCCACACAACATTCCAGACTCACTCCCAAGCCGGCTGTGTCTGGACCCCAGGAGAGATGGCTTTCCAGAAGCTCTTGGCCACGCAGCAGAATTTCCTGTGACCTGTAGGAAGAGCTCATAGACAGGTTCCTGCACCACCCCTAAGCTGCCTGTCTCGCTGTCCCCTCTAGCAGGAGTCCAGGCACCCAAAGATCAGGCTCCCAGCCCACTAGCCCTAACTCTGTATTAGATCTAGCCGTAAAGGACTTTTGTGCTGTGATCAAGTACAACTTATGAAATAGAGCTTCTATAAACCACTGAGGTCTAGGCACAATAGTTGTGTGTACTGAAGCCTAGAAGAGCAAACCATCTGTATTCACTGCTCTGAAATACCATGGTACAAAATAAACGACTGGAACAACTTGTGGTCTCTGGTTGTTTGTTGAGCTGCACGCCGGGCAGCTTGGCTGCCATTCACAGCCCAGAGCCATGTGAGATCATGTTTAAATAGAAGCTGCTTGATATTTTTGTAACTGGGGCTGAAGATCAGAATAATTTGGGGCTTGTCTTCCCCTCCCACTGCCATCGCCCCCAAGAAAAAAACCCTAAAGACAAAATGGGGTTTAGTGTCTCTGAAAAGTAGGGAAAAGTGATGACAATGCTGTGGATCACCTCAAACACTGACAAGTAGCAAATTCTTCTATTTTGCCTTATCTGAGCAGGAACAGTGGAAAGAAAGTCACTAATAGATAAAATATTTAGGCTTCTGTTGCACCTATGAAAAAGAAATAGCCTTGTCTCCATGCCCATTTGAAGTTGGGTGGAACAAATTTGCTCAGCAGAGGCAACCCAGGCTGGCTACAGACCCACCTCCTGCCCTAGAGCATCCCATATCCTTGGGAATATGGGTGATTGGTGCCAGGATGATCATGGGGAAGGATTTATTAAGGTAGCCCAGGTTACCTGCATGGATGAGGGGAGGCTGGTACCCCCATAAACTCATTTATGTTGGAAAAGACCTTTAAGATGGAGTCAACCATTCCCCCAGCACTGCCAGGCTGACCACTAACCCATGTCCCCAAGTGCTACCTGCCAGTGTGACAGGAATGTGCTGCTTCCCAGGAAGCCAACAGACCTCACACAGAGAAGCATTTAGAGCAAAACTGTTTAATAAAATATCACTTCAACAAGCATTTACATACAATATATAAAACCACTTTAAAAGCCTAATGTGTTTGAAATCTTCTCAGAGTGTAACAGATGTCAGAAGTTGTTGAAACAACACTAAAAGGAGCAGGAGTGGGGAGGGGGACACCTCATCTTGGCACCTGCAGCAATGAAAATGCATCCCCACAGAGACTGATCCAGCATCAAAGCTTCCAGTGTTGCCCCACAGCATCAAACAGTGCCAGCCACGAGCCCAACACCAGCACAGCAGAAAGATTTGCCACAGCCTGATGTCCTTGTCCATTCCCTGCCTACATTCACATCAAACTCAGCTTAGATCTGTTAATTGTTTCCCTTTTCAGCAGCATTTTAGCTCCCTCTTTGGGCCATTTCTCTCTGTAGCAAACAGGGACTTGAGCAGAACTCGTCCCACGTAGGGCTGGGCAGAAGTAGTGACTTGAGCCTGAAAAACATCCCTAAGGTTTTGCTTTGAGCTTTGTCGTTGGAGACAGCTTTGTGGAGATCAGTGCATCTCAGAAAAAGTTGTGTTCTGCAGCCCACCCAGCCAAAGAGCAGCAGTGCTGTTGCCTACAGGAACAAGAGATACCCTGCAAGACCAATCTATCTATTTATGCATGTTCACATCTGCAGATCCTACAGAAAAACAAACCAAATACCCAGAAAAACCCCCACCACTGTCTGTAACTCCACTGCTAAACACCAATTTATTGAAGACCTGTTTGCTGCATCCCATCACTCCTGCAGTCCAGGATGGCCTTTAGGAAGGCCATGGTTAAAGGGTGTGAGCCCAGCTGCTCCTGCCTTCTCCTTGGCCATGTATGGCAGGACAGGAGCAAAGACAGCAGCTTCTACCTCCTGATTACCTGCAGCCTCTTTTCAGATCCTGAAGGTGAGGAGAACCTCAGCTTCATCAATGTGGTGCTATATGGACACTTCAACCAGCAGAGCTGAAACAAAATTACAAACTGCAAGTGCTCATTGCAAACCCCCTGGTGAAGAACCCACCATTTCAGCTCTGCCAGCAGCTCCCAGGGGAAGATCCCCTTTCCAGCCACTGAGAGCAGCAGATCACAGAGCCTTTGCACAGCACTGGAAATGGGGTGCTCTGCTGAGCCAGGTGCTGCAAACCACCCACCCATGAGTGTCACTGCTCCCTACCATGTTTCCCACTGAAGGATGAGTTTTCACATAAAATCCCACGTTCTGGGCAAGAACTCCTACCTGTACCTGCTGGAGGACATCACCACGTTGTCAGACAAGTCTCTGTGCTTGCAGAATACCCTGGGGGATGTTTGTTTGTACTGCATACAACTGCACTGAGTCAGACTGTCCAAAAACAGCTGAGCTCTACACCTGGGTTGCCTCAACTCCTGCAGGAGAAGGGCTACAGCTGATGGAATTAAGCAAACAGCTTTTCTTGTGGAAATGGCAAACACAAAGAAGGAAGGAACATAACTGAGGCAGAAATATGCAAATGAACTCTCTCACAAGAGCACGGTCTGGTTTTCACTAGTTTTGTCATTTCAGTTGCTTGCAGAGACCAGGGAGAAGGAATTTGTGCTCTTCAGAGGCAAGTAAAGGACTGCACTCCAGATTTCACAGCATCCCCCTTTCTCCAGTACAGCTGGCAACAGGGACCTGGACCAGTATAGTGCACTCTAAGCACGGATGCATTTCCTGTCTACAATCCTGTCCCACAAGGTTACAGCTCTAGGAGCATCACCAATGCCAAAGTGACCAGAGAAGTTTGTGGTAGACATGGAAACCCCAGTGAGAGGCCCAGAGTGATTTACAGTAAATGGCACAGCTGAAATGCCCCCATCTGACACAGCCAGGCTGGGCCTGCTGGAAGCAGGAAAGCCTCAAAGGCTGAGCAATCAGGTGGCTCTACAGCACAGAACTTGGTGACTTTCAGAACACATGATGAGGAAAGGGCCTGGAGAGTCAGCCTCAGTGCTCAGCTTCCATCAGCAGTGCCAGTGCTGCAATTCCTGTATGGGGAAGGATACCAGCAGACACAAAGCCAAATGGCCATCTGTGTGCAGTGAAACAGCAGGGGGAGGGCAGGAAAATCCATACTCCCCTGTCCTGGATACAGCTCAGGCTGTTCTTTGACACTTCTGCATGCACCCCAGGATAGTCAACCACATTTTGGATTGCACAGATCACCTCTGTGCAGAGGGAAGCAGAGGTGTTCCAGGTACCAGGGCAGGAATACTGAAAGCTAATTTGTGGTGAAGAGCTGACACATATAGAGTGGTGAAGAGTTTGACACATATACTGGCAGACAGAGGTACATGTAACAGTCCTGAGCACCTGGAAGAAGCACATTTAAGAGGTTTCTCTGCCACTACATTTTTATGAAGTCAAAACTCATCAGAAAATTTGAGACTGGGCGTATTTGGTGGGAAATCATGATACACTGGGAGTTGTAAGCTTCCAGACCAAGCCCAGCACACTAACAGCCCAGAGAGAAGAAACAGGTGGAAATCAGAAGCAGCGTTGTAAGAAATAAGGGCTGGAACCTGTGAGCAGATGGGACTGAGTCTGTTGGCAACATCCTTTGACTTCTAAGTGAGAGATAACAGCAGTAGAGGAGGGGAGGGGAGGTTGGGCATGAGAGGAGAGCGCAGCTTCTAGGATGCGATTCCAAGCATGAATCCTCCAGCAAACCCTCCAGTCAGGATAGCATTCTTCTTCAGAAATATGACCACCTAAGCAGGGGTGAGAAGAGACAACAGTGTTCAACAACATCGGGCCACCCACTGACCCTCCTGCTAAGAAGAAATCCCTCAGGCTGTTCTTGGGATGCTCACAGAGATGCCACTGCTCAGATTTGGGAAAACTTCCTGCCTAATGACCTCTCTTCCCTAACTGCACCAGCACACAGCCAGATCTTCACCCTGCTCAGCCACGAGCAGCCAGCTCCTCCAGGAGAATGCTGTGGGAAATGATGTCTTCCTAAACTCTAGGCACGCAACATCCACAGCTTTTGCCATCTCTCCCATTTTTCTGTCATGCAAGAATTCCCTCCTTGTATTTGCACAACTGAACATCTGTAACAGCTCAAGAGTCAGTCCTGTTTTCTGCTGTCCCTCCAGAACATGCCCTGGGAGAGCTGTCTCACCTCATCCACTCTGCTTTTCACTTCTGGAGGCATTTCATTGCCACTGGTGTGAAACTTCAGCTGCTGCTTGGCTTTGTTCATGTCCCGTTGTACTAGGTTCCAGTCCACCTTGATGTATCCCGTGTGGTTTGCAATCTACAGTTTTGAGGATTAGAAAAAAGTTCCTGAAGTCCTGTGTGACCACGGCTAAACAGGCCCCTTACTCACCCACGTTCCCTGACCACAGACACCTCCCACTCACTGGTCCAGTGGGCACACTGGCTTACAAATTGGACAGAACACCACCCCTGGAGCACCCCTTCTGCAACATCTGTCTCCCACAGTAAGCCCCCAGCAGCTGGGCACTCATTGCAGCTCAGCCTGCTTCAGCCTCTCTTCCTCAATGTAAAGCTGGGATCACCTCACAACTGCCATGGATATTGCTGGGACTCCCTGCAGTTCTGCTGCTGTGGCTGGACACAGCTATTAATAGCCCATTCCTCTCAAACTATTTTATCTGCTCAGGGTGATTCAGCTGTGGAACTCCTCTGCCCAGAGCAAGCTTTTGACTTTCAGCAGAACAAGCAGAACCAGGAGAGTGAGGGAGAATGAATCACACACAAGACCTGTGTGCCTGAGGAGCAAACAGGTGAGAGCTGAACGAGGCCTCACAGCTGATCTGCCTGCTCCAGGATGCATGAACACATCCCAGCAGCTTCCCTCAATGCCAGGGCTCTTGGAAACCAGCAGAAGTTGCAGAGGATAGAGGTCCCCTTTCTCTCCTCTTTCTACCCCAGGGCTTTACAGTGAGCCCCACCTGTGCTGGCTGACTCCTTGGGAAGCCAGGCTGGCAGGAAGCATGTCACAGATATGGGTAAATCCTCCTTGACATGCAGGGACACCACGTCCACAGCCGCAGGACCCAGCATGCGAGGCTGTCCTGCAGCAGCAGCATGGCTCAGTGCAGCTCCAGGCTGTCTCCTGCTCCCCTCAGGTGCCCCTGCAGCAGCAGCTCTCCTGTGCCTTTGGTAGCAGGTCCCCAGTGGATGTGCACTGGCAATCCTGCTCTGGTTTATGCACACTGACCCTGCTCTGCTGCTGCATCCATGTGCCCTGGAGCACACACA